GTCGGGATATTCAGAGTGTCTTGGTATGTCTAAGAGAGAAAAAAACTTTCAAGTGCTGATAGCGTCGGTTTGATGTTCTAAGTTGGTGATTGGATTTAGAATAAAAAAGTGTAAGACTCCTGAAGGAGGTCTTCACTCAGAGTGGCTCAAGAGCTGGTAGCTCGACAACGTATTCTAAAACCCGGCTCTATAATTCCTTACGACACAAAGCTAGCTCCGTCCGAAGAGTATTCGGTGAAGAGGAATGAATCAGACACAACTAACAAGACTAGAGAAAGAGACAACAAGAGAAAAGACAAGTGAAATGTGATAATGCTCACCTAGCTCCGTCCGAAGAGTATTCGGTGAAGAAGAAGTCTTCTGGAGCTAGGGCGGATTGACAACTATAATGTGTACCTGTCTACAGCCATGCCTTATGTGTATCTGTCTCTATGTAACCCTTACAACTACATCATTATTGACCACATTCTTGCCCCCATGAATAAATCGTACATTGCAGTTGAGAACTCTGTTTACTGCCTTATGTAAAGCCCAGCTTCTTGATGCTTCTTGACTGCTGCTAGTAATACCATTGTGCTGCTACTGTGCTTTGTCCCTAACTTAACTAAGTCCATCTGCTCATTTTGCGGCGCAAGCTTGCGAGCAGAGGGACTTAGGCCTAATGTCCGGTTCCTTGGTGAGGAGCACATCCACCTCTTGGTGGGGGAAATTGGTCCCAATGGAAAACTTTTTTCCCTATTTACGAATTTTCCTAAAATTTTGACACGTTATAGGCTGTCATCTTGCACACCTGACTGCATCCTCAGATTATCTCATTTCAAGATCAGTCAAAAATTTCATAAGACGTCAAAATGGGATGTTTTGAGATTTCAAAGAAACAACTGCGGCTGACTGTAGCGGTTACAACACACTGTAGCATGTGGTATGTGTCTTTGGGAATTTGGGATGTGATACTTTTGATAGTTGGATCTAGCTGGATCCATTCAGCTCTCAACTCATTATCAAGATATCTTCTTTGGTTCCACGCGACGTGATCGTGATCAAACATTCCAAAAATGATCACTCCAAGAAGAACCAGAAGTCATCCCAACCCCTTTCCTTCAAATCATAGCCGAGGCGTCACGAGTTTAAAAATTGAGAAGCCATCAATCACAAAGAAATTAGCAGCATCAAGGATACCAGAACAGAAAAACTCAGTCTTAGTGCGCTTCAAGGAGAAAAGCCCAAAGGATGTAGCAAAGGCCCCCCAAGTTGAAGGTGTGGTCAGCTTGATTAATGGCAATCATACATTCCTTTTAGCAGGAACTGGTTTTGGAAAGTCTCGTGTTCCAGAGATGTTCTTTCATATGTTTCCAAAAGTTTCAAAGCCAGTTGTTTTGGTTCTGAATCCGCTGGATACACTTGGAAACAATCAAGTAAGCACTCAGCTTTTTATTCAACTCTTTGTCCGATTATTGACAGTATGAATATTATTCCATAGGTTCTGGAAAAGAAACTTATTGGAATCACTTCTATTAACCTTAATAAGACAAGCTTTGATTCACAGGCTCTGGAGGACTTGAAAGCTCATAAGTATTCTTTTATATATCTTGTTAGTTTTTGTTAACTTTTGTGTATGCCTTCTGATTTGAACTAATCTTGTGTTTTGTTCCCACATGTTTCTCCAGAGTCCTGAGATCTTTTTGAATAGTGAATCTTTTCAACGTCTTTATCACAGCGCTGACTTCCAACGCCATTTAATACTCAAGGTGGTTGATGAGGCCCACTGTATCTATCTATGGGGCCTTCAGGCTAGCGGGAAATCAAACCATTTCTCCACACATTTTACACCACAAGATGTGGGATTTTTTCGATTGTCCTACGGTAATCTTGGCCAGCAGCTCATGGCCACAGACCACGTCCCAGTCCTTCTCATGTCGGCTACATGTCGCCCAATAGCTGTCAGCAGTATCTGCGAAAGCCTCAAGATATTGCCAAAGAATATGAATATGGTCCGAGCTGAATTGACTCGACCTGAAATCCGGTTTATTCGAGTCTACTTACGATACTCTCTGGATTCGGCTGACGATCTTGCAACACTCTTCCCTAAAGCTTCAGTTGTTCCGAACCAAGATATGATCCCAACATTGATATATTCAGGAACTCGCAATGCAACATTACCTGTAATGGAAGTTGTATGTAAATCGCGAGGAGAACCTCTAGATGCCTACAACGGAAATAGCCAGTGTATTCGAAGATACCACTCGGTCACTGGTGAAGACGACCAGATTACGCGAGTTGAAGATTTTGCAGAAGGAAAATACCCAATGATCTCGGCAACTTCAGCACTCGGTTTAGGACAGAATTGGAAACGAGTCAAGTTGGTGGTTGTGATGGGGGCAATGGATCCAGCTGAATCAAATCAAATGTGTGGCCGAGCAGGGCGAGGTGTCGGTAATGAGGGTGTGGCAATCCTATTTGTCCAACCTAATATGCCAAAAGGAAAAAATTCACTTGATGAATTTAAAGTCTCGGGGAACATGGACAATGAAGAACGGATGCATGCCTTGCGATTGACACCATGCTGTCTCCGAGTTGCTTACTCAGTTGACAATCTGTGAGTGATATCAATTTATTCATTCCAATCTTTTTCAAAAAGTTCTGAAGCTGACGAGTTCTATTTTGTTGGAACTCAAATAGAAAGGGATACATTCCTCTGAGCTTGTCTGATGCAGGCTATTGTGAAGAAATTAAACGAGAAAAGTCGATGAACATGCGTCTCTGCAGATGTTCGAATTGTGATCCACAAGGCGCAGCCAGAATTCTTCGTCTTCTTCCGACTACCGCTGCCTCCAATTTCGACGAACTCCTAGCATCATATCCGACTCACGCTGAGGACATCAGCCTTCTTCAAATTCTTAAGACATCACCAAAGCGAAAGTTTTCTAGCAACCTACCTCTTGTCTGTAAGGCTAACAACCCCATCCGGATGAGTCCACCAATGGTTGAACTTGCGGTGTCTCTTATTGGTAACGCTGAGAAATTATTTGCAGCAACATACCCAACCGATTGTGATATGGACCCATCCGATGTCTTTGATCGGGAAGAAGCGTGGCAGATTGTCAAGAATGCTTCTGCAGTTTCAAATGGGCAATTCTTGCGCTCGATTCTTGGTGGAGAGAGCCTGCCAGGACTTTATGAAATGATAATAAGCTGCATTGCAGATTGGTATAAATCACAAGTGTATTTGGACCATTGTCAAGAACTCAAAGATCAACAAGTTATGATTGATCAAGAGATTTTGAACAAGGAGCTCATTGAGGAGGAAATTCGCGAGCAGTTGAGATTAAAACAAGCAGAAAAAGATGCAAAAGCTTCTCAAATTCAAGCAGCAAAAACTTTGCGTCTTGAGAAGCAAGCAGAAAAATTGAGAATTGCAGGAGAGGCGAAAGATAGGCGGCAGCGCGAACAAGGTTTCAAGTGAGTTCTTGAGCCGGTCAGGTCTCTACATCAAGATATCTGCCATCAATACAATCTTATTCATTCAAGTTGATATTTCTTTCCCTCATAGAACCCCAGGTGAACCTTGAAGTCTGGCCCTTTTGTGCTTCGGATCGCAATATATCTTTAAACTTTTCGATTCCAAAAAGTTTGACATTTTCAACTTCAGAGTTATCATCAACGCTCCGAGTATTGCCAGAGATACTTGTATCACACATGTGAACCTGAGCCATGTTCAGGAAAGTTTTCAGAGATGTGGGTGATATTGGATGTAGATTATTCTGATATACAATTTTGAGACCGGATCAAACCTTCATCTGTTGTATCTGTCGTCGAAGCTGAACCATAATAAGAAAACAAATGACATTAAATGATCTTTATGAAATAATAAGTTACATGCCGTACCAGTGGAATGATAATCGAGAATCTCTCCATGAGCCTTTCAATCTTGGTTCCTTGACCCTATAAAATGTGGTAGAGACATTGCCAATTGGTTAGAGCGACTTGATTTCAATGAAAGTAGACAGAGAATCATACCGAATTGTTATAAAAGTATTTCAACCAATAATTCTGAATTTCGAGATAGAAATCTTTCGCAACCCAATGTCCTGCTCGTCCGCCCGTTGGTATTAGCAGTGAGTGTTTAATGACTCTAGCTACCTTCCTTGGTAGGAACTTCTCAAGAATCATGATGAATATAGGTAGATGGATTGCATAGTGCGAGAGACCAGAGAGTCCTTGAGCCATAACCGCCCATCTCTTCCACATATTCATAACCCGTCCAATGTCTCCAGCTCGCATTGCGTTATCTCCTTCAACAATTGAAGCAAAGTCTCGAAGTCAAAGCTGCATATTGTATGTTGTCCAATCTTTAGCGCGCTGGCTCCGTTTTAAAGAAGCCAAGGTGAAGTAACGCTTGTAACATTCATCAATGACAGATTCGGCGACCCCACTTTCTGCTAAGTCTAAGTCTGTGGTATGCGACTCTATGGTCTGCCTATAAGATTTAACAATAAACATGAAAGAAAATATTAGCAATTTGCCTTGCTCAATCAAAAAAGGACATACTTTAATAGAAAGACAAGGGTCGCCATGTGGGATTTGTGGATGACTTGCATCAGCGAGTTGAAATCCTTTTGTGATGGAAGTTTCGTGGTTTCCATACCAAGTGCGCCGGCAGATCGGTGGATACCAGTATCCGCAGAGTCTTTTGAATCACCCCAGTGGTGGCTAAGGACTTTACTCGCCACATTCCATAAGGTGTGAGCTAAACCAGGAAGGTTAAGAATATTGTTCAAGCTCTCGTACTTATGACCGGCAGGGAAACGTTGTCGGATAAGGGATTCAAAGTTCAGACAGGTACCCATGTCTCCTTCAATTATCTGAGCTGCATTGGCTGAAGTCTTTGGATCTTCGCCCATTTGTTTCTTGCACTGATCAAGCATTTCAGATACTCCGGAGGCTGAACTATCAGATGCGCTCATCATCTTGAGCATCAGAAGATCTGGTTCATACATTTCGATTTGATCAATGGGCGGAGGAGAGGTTTTCAAACGGCTACAACAAGCCTTTTGCGTGGGTGAATCTTTTTCAACAACGTAAGAGATAAGTGCATTGGCCAGCTGTGCCTTCCGAGCAAGAGCCCAATGTTCACTTTCCTTTTGATTCGGAAGCATGGATTTGACATTGAAGGGTTCTTTTTGACTTTCCTGCGTGTATTTAACCAGATTTTCCGTACTCAAATCCGCCGGGTCAAGATCCTTGATGAGATGTTCGGGAAGAAAATGAAGATAGCCATAAGAGCCATGGAACATCTTTGTAGTTGATTCAATTCGAGCAGTGTGTACTCGCGCTTGGATATCAATATTGTCCAAAATCATGGAAGGTCGAAAGTCTTTAGCCTTGGAAGCTCTTGATTTGATCTCTTTGGCTGCTGAGTTCCCAAGAGAATCCATGACTCTGAGTGCGGTTTTTCGTGAGGAAGTCAATCCGATGAAGCCAAGATAGTCGTTCATTCGTTCGGAGATACCGCAGGCGACAAAAGCCAGAGAGTTTTGTAGCTGTACACCATTAAATCTTCTATTGCATGCAAAAGCGATCATAGCTAATACAATCACAGGTATCTGAGCAAAAGTATAATGCAAAGAAAAGTACTTCATGAGCGCGAGGACAATCTAAAAAAACACAGCAGTCGCCTGCAAATGATGAAGCTCACTTGCTCAAGCCTCTGCCCATCAAGCAGGTCTGGTTCAAGCTCGACTGAGTGAGAGATGCCTTCCAGAGCCTCCACCGCGCTCTGATCATCGTCAATATCGTCTTCATTGCTTTGAACTTCCATCGATTCATCGAGCGCACCTGAATTTGCCTGCTTCCGCTGGAGTCGCGCATCGGCTCGCTTGAGGTTCCACATCTCAATTTTTGAGTGTATGAGGCCGTAAAGGAATGGCATTCTTTGCCGGATCAGGCTGTATCTCTCGAGTTCGGCCTCTTCATTAAAAAAATCAGGCCCCACCGAGTCAGAACTGTAGAAAGCACCTGTTGGTGCATTTCCTTTGGGTAAGTCCTCTCGTTTGACAATTTCCTTGGCCTGGAAGGACAACAAAACATCATTAAACAAGACCTTCCTATGTGATCCAGCAATAATTCTACTTACTTCATTCAAAATGAACTGCTCCCATCTCGCAGAACCACCTTGGCTTCCCAAGATCAATCCCTTAAAACCAAGTACAAGCTTTTCAGTCGAATTCCAGCCAGTTTCGGTGCCCCAGTATTGTCGGCGGATGATGATTTCATCATCATCAGATTCAATCATGTTCTGCATGAAACTTTTTGGAGTCATGTTCAGCTCTTGGATCAAGTTGCAGATCTGGATTGCACGAGGTAGCTTGTCTTCTCTGTCAGCCTGGCAAATGGGATCAGCTCCAGTCTGGAATAACATTGGATCCAGGTGATTCATGAGGTAAGTAGGATTAATGAAAGCTTTGCTGAAGTTTTGTTGATCACTAACAGATTGACCTTAATTTTTTCTGTTTGCAAGCGCACAATTTCATTCTGTAACACTCTTTTGAAGTTGTGGTATCCACTTACATACAATGAATACACACTGTAACTCGCAGCAATACAGCTTTCCCAAAATCTCAAAACATCCCATTTTGACGTCTTATGAAATTTTTGACTGATCTTGAAATGAGATAATCTGAGGATGCAGTCAGGTGTGCAAGATGACAGCCTATAACGTGTCAAAATTTTAGGAAAATTCGTAAATAGGGAAAAAAGTTTTCCATTGGGACCAATTTCCCCACCAAGAGGTGGATGTGCTCCTCACCAAGGAACCGGACATTAGGCCTAAGTCCCTCTGCTCGCAAGCTCGCGCCGCAAAATGAGCAGATGGACTTAGTTAAGTTAGGCTTTGTCCCCACAAAATGATATTTGCAACTGATAAGTCTGCGTTGTCAGTACTTCAAGCTGGTCTAGATTAAAAGACGTGTATCGTTTGCTCGTATCAATGGTTATTGTTAGCATGTGTACGATAATATATTGGTGGAAAGGGCCTCATGGAGCATCAATTTTACCTCTGGTTGAAGGTTCTAATAAGCTGTTCAAAGATTTAATTTATGATTATGATTCACCGTTGTTTCCAAGCTATCAATCAATCTCTCCACTTCAAGCCTCGGCTGGTGGGAAGTAAGACTGAAGCAGAGATAGGCAGGGAAAGAGTATCAGAGAGATTTGAATTGTACATATCGTTGAGGTGGAGCGTTTTGAATTTGATTTTGATGACGAGCATGGGTTGGTTCAAACTTCAGAGAAGTCAAATTGGCAATTTTACTTTTGAATACCACTTACCCTAAACTTTCTTTGCTGAGGCTCGGTACCATACGGCTTTACTCTTTATATGCTTCGAGGTCAACTTCAACCACTCAACTTCAACTTCATTAGCTTGATCATCGAAACTGTGTGGCAAATGGATTCATGCATCATTCGATCTTCACCTATTCAGATCTAATACCAGCACCGAGTCATCTCACATCATCATACACCTGGATTGACTCACAATGTTCAGCCGACTTCGTTCAACGTCTCTTGGTCATCTAATCGAGCTTGCAAGTCAGCGTTCTGACTCCAATGTGACTCCTACTTCCAGTCCAAACCCTCTTGCACCTCATCCTAACTCCGCTCCGCGTCAACGTCTAACCGATCCAGTCTTCGCGTCGATTGCTGAAGGTCGGCCGAACCCACATCCTAGGCATTCTCTTGAAGCCCAATTTCAGAAGCATCAAGCATTGGAACGCTCGAAGAGCGCGTTAAGGGAGGCGGTGGAATCACTGCAGAAGATTCATCGTGATGATCTATCACAAAGGAGGGCCATGCTAGCCACGATGGCCGCTATTCTATCAGATGGTGTCGAATGTCGGGATTGTATGCGAGAGAATGGCGGCTTCTTGACCTTGGTGACGGTCTTGGCTAGCTTGATACAGACAGATTCTTCTCAATCCGCGTCATATCAGCAAACTCAAAATCTAGTTTCAGACGAGCAGCTGATCTGCGATTCGCCTACACCTCATAGACTCACGCATGCTAAGACTTCGTCAATTGGAATTGGAGCTCCACCAAGGCGATCACCTCACTTGAAAGATTTATCCTCAAGCACGTCCAGCTCTATTGCTACGATTATCGGAGAACGTGATGCAGTCGTGGAACTGATTTTCAAGTGCCTCGCACTCGCCCTTACTGGGAACGTCACCAATCAGCAGTATTTTTCCACCGTGATTGGTTATCAGTCAGTATTGGACGCCATTCGAATCTCAGAACTGCTACCGCGTGACATACCGACTAGCTATGCAAGCCTAGACCAACCCCTCGACAGGGTGAATCATCTTAGAAGTGCCTACAAGATGTTTGATATCATCTTTAGCTTTATTACTGCCGATTTTACCTTTAACGATGTATTCACATCGGTGCTATCGACCGCTTCGACATCTGGTACGAGGAATCAAATGAATGCAGACGAGAACACTGGAGCCGGATTTGGTGATGACACTCCCACCAAGCTCCGAGAGGCGTGGGGACCAGGCAAAACTCCCTTATACTCGACTCAGCGAGATCAGGATGATATCAAATATCGCAATATGTCATCTGCCCTTTCCCTGCGCATTTGTCAAACGGAAGTTCCTCCACGAGTCGAGATTCCGGACGCTATCCGTCTTTTGTTTGCACTTCATTCAGATCTCCTATTCCCTTTGACCCAGACGTGGTTTTCGGATTCAGCATGGGCTCAAGCTGCTTACGAGCTCTACTTTCTCAGTTTGAAATCCATAGAATGTCTTGCCTCCACATCCCGACATAGTCAAGTCTCCCTAAATTCTGCGGAAGTGATCGCCATCTTGTTAGAAAGAATTACTACCCCTATGTCGAACCTAGCCAGCCCCATTGCTTCAACCAGCAAGCCTACTGGAATGCCTCATGGGCACCAACCTGGCTTGCCTGCGGGTTTGGAGCCATGGCCAGCATCTCTCATCTTGTCCAATCGGAGTAAAAATCCAATCGATGGATTGGGTGAAGGAGAGCGTCGCTGCCGAATGATCATCAAAGAAATCCTCACAAGGTTGCTAGAGATTGGATGTTCAACCCGAGAAGCTAGGTTACTCTTTCGACAGATGGTAGTCTCGTCGGATACCACCGAATCAGGCAATGAAACCCTAGATGACGAGTACCTAGAGCTTGTGTGAGTGTTCTAGCTTTTTCAACTAGTCCCCCGATAGAAATCGTCTTCTATAGCCTAATTGTTGTGAGTCTACTCCTTGTTCCGACTGATCAGATTATCAGGAATGCAAAGTTCGTGTTGGCCACCGTTCATTCATTTTGATCTCTCAAGGTCAGGCAGCTCCAATGTATTCCTACAATCAATCGGAGATCATCCATTTCCTCCAACCAATGGAAAAGGGTGGACATTTGCCGGCTGGATTCAAGTTGAATCGTTCGACGCTGCCAGCGGAGATCCGTTGAATATTCTTATACTTTCTGATTCCATCCATGGTCTTATTATACGTGTAGCTCTTTCCAACGCACCACATTCTCATCATCTGACCGTGGAGATTTATCCGGAAAACATTCATAATCAGCCCACGACACCTCGGCGCGGGGTTGAAAGCAGAAGCACATCTTATTCTCAATCGCGCCATATTTGTGTAAAACCATATTTGGTTGAATTCAAAGAATTTCTGTTCCGTCCGCAAAGGTTTTATCACGTGGCTCTCGTTCAAAAACCCAAGGACAAAACGAATATGTCTATGATTTCACTTTTCATTGATGGAGAAAGTGTTGGACAGTATCCTTGTCCCTGGCCAAGATCCTCAACTTCTAGCGTATCTGCATGCTTTGGTAATCTTCCGTCCGGTCGGCACCCTGATATGGCTACATCCCTTGGCCAGACTGTATGTTCCCAGTGTACTACAGGCTCTTCAGGCCTACGCCCTCGAGGGACGAGTACATCACGCTGGGACCTTGCAGCGAGCTATCTGTTCAATCAACACCTGTCAGACGATATGATCTTTGTTCAGTCAACACTGGGGCCAAAGATATTTACAACTTGGCAGGACGCTTTGGGTTCCTTTCAAACCTACTCATCGAGTACGCTTCTCAACTTGAAGATTGATCAGTTGCAACATCAGATTACGCGTGAGTTGAAGAACAAATCAAACAAAGACCAATCATCTTTTTCTCGTCAGGGAAACCCCAAGAAAGTAGACACTTCTCAAGCTCTCAACAACTCCCCATTGATCAAGGCTATCAGAGAGTCTGCGTCAGCCTTCATCCCTCATGATTCAATGTACTTTGCTCTCTCCTCGCAACACGGTATGGTCGCAGGTATACTCCGTGGACAAGATCACCCCCCATCTGAAAGCGAGGGTTCGAAAAAAGTTGGGGAGCAGATCAATGACATGGGTCAATCAGCTCAATTTATCGACTCCGTTGTACCCAGGGATCGAGAACTTTCGACCCTTGCCCTCTCCCATCGACGTTATTTGAATTTCGCTGATAGCATACTGAACGCTGGAATTCCTAATATTCGTGCCATCGATCTACCCCTGAAAAATTCTCAGCATGACGTATCCTCTGCAGCATCGGGTATCGCTTTGCCAAGCTCACTTTCGCATGCTTTGTTTCAAATATCTGGTGTTACCTTATGTTCCCCGAAAGGATTGGACGACTCTATATGGAAGGTTTCCGGTTCTATATTTTTGGTTAAGCTGATATCCTTATCCTCAACAGAACCACAGCTACTATCAACAATCAAGCTGTTCTTCGAAGCAATCAGTCATAACTGGAGGTTGAGTGAAGATGCGGAAAAAATTCAAGTGAGTTGAGCGTTTTGGATTCACTTCCATCATAGTGCGCTGATGCTTTAAACCAAATACCTGCTCTCAGGCTTACGAGACGTTAGCATATATACTTCGAAACAAATCCCATCTGATCTCTCAGGAAATCCATCGCGTCCTCCTTCTCTTCGCTGGTATCATGACTGAAGGGACTCCCACTCCCAAACCTGAAAGCCAATCTCAACGCCTATCTCCTACACCCGAGAATGCAAACCTCGATGATGAAACATCACAGGTTGATTGTGGACTACAAGAATCAGTTATCACCAATCCCTTGGCATTTCGTTTCTTATTATTGGACTTCGATCTGTGGTCTCGTACAACATTGAATATACAAGAAAAACATCTGAAAAGTCTATCCTACGTGAATGAAAGGAGCAGATGGAGTGCGTTTAGTAGTAAAAGGATCAGTAAAATGAGTTGAGTTCATTCTCCAGAAGCAAAAGAAACGCGTAATCAACATTCATTCGAACTTGGGCTTATGCTTCCTCTGTTTCTGGATTTCCACGAAGATCTGATTCCGAAAATGCTACATGCGCTTAGGACTCGGCAATTCGCATTGAAAGCTGAGCGACCTTCTGTGATGGCTGCTTTTATCGGCCTGTTGAGTTGCGTGCTCAAAGTGCAGTTCAACACCGATAGTATCAGAGGACTAGCTAGCTACTTGACGGCCAGTCTTTCGCCACAAAAGCTGTCGGCCAATTCAACCGCAGGTACACTCTCGACTTTCTCATTCAACTCACCTCAATCGGTTTCGCCGGACTCACCCTTTTTTGACCCGGCCCAACTACAAGACCCTAAATCCACTTCGTCTGATGCCCTCCAAGTTCCGCAAGCTTATATCAAGCCTATGTCTACGTCCATCACGATTGAAGAACCACTCATGGTTTTGGAGATCTTACACAACTTACTTTTGTCAGCCAACGACCAGGAAAGCCGAAGTTACATTTCACGTTTCTTGAAGGCCATCAATGGCTCCAAATGGGTCTTGATGTTCTTTCGACGAAATTCAAATCCTGAAGTTATCCTCTACAGTTACCGAATTCTGATCAGATTGATTCAGACTCAAGATATAGTATGGATACAGCAGTTCAAGAACGTTCTCTCCGGCTTTGCCATCTTGAGATCCATCTTGACCGAGTTCTCTTTTCGTAACCCCTCAATCTTGGTCGCAACCCTGAGTTTGATTGCTCAAGTCGATATCCGTACAGTTCCGAAGTTGAAAACTCAAGATGTTTCACTGGAAGAGATGACCAGCGTGATCCAATCAATCGAAGGTGTACCGAGCGAGATCATCGCCCGTGAAATGTTACCCGTGGTACTAGCGTTACTCAAACCGGTCTATGTCGTCAAGCAAGACCTCACTAGTGCTCCTGCTCTCTATGTTCTTGAGTGGCTGAGGGTACAGTCGCAGAACGACAGGTGGAATGAGATCATCGGTCATGAAGACATGGTTCAACTTTGGGGTCCGTATGTCACTATGTTGGCATCTTTGGCAAATCAAGACAACGTCGTCGTCGATTTCGATGAATATCATGGTGAAATGTCTAGCGCGTCTAATACGTCTGCTTCAGATTATTCATGTCTTCGGTCGTTTCCCCTTAACATCACATCGATGTCGAGCTCTGACGGGGATCAATTCAATCAAGTGATCATAGATGAGCCTCGAGCACTTGTAGTCATTGTGGATGAGCCAGGCAAGATTTCATCACCCTCCCTAACTGTCTATTCGAACATGCCAACCTCGACAGTGCCCGTATCCGTACCGCGTCGTCAGATGACTCGGGCAAACAAACCTCACCTGAATCCAAAGATTATAATTCCTCAAACTATCACCATAAATGGAGAAGCAATATCCTTACCGCCTTCTCCAGACGGTTTGTATCAGGGCGATCAATTTGCTAACAATCTGCATGATATGGTCCGCGAGTCAAGATTTCCAAAAATTCATACAACGGATGATGAAACTGACCCCAGGTCAATAACATTATCTTCGTGGGAGAATATCGACCCCGAAGTGGGCAATCAACTAGGAAGTTTGGCGAAGCAATTGATCATCTATCATGTTTTCCAACATGTTGTGATTCATCAGCCATTGCCACCCTCACATGACGATGAGTTTGTATCAAGCGTGCTGACCGACAAGCGACTAAGGTTGGATCGACTAGAGCGTTTGCTGAATCTTGTGGTCACGAGTAATGGGCTAGAACAACAAAAAGTACGTTTTCGACTCTTATTTTTGATTTCTCTCAAACCTCAGGTCTCGAAGAGAATAACAAACTTGAATTGTGTCTCTTGATATCTGATCAATTAGGCAGCCTGGATCACTCCCCTCTTTGATGATGTGGTCAGCATGGCTATCAGTGAAACAGATTCTTCAACTTTGCCACTTAATTGGCTGATTCCGACTTTAGCTCATGGATACATTGCAGGTGCGATTTTCACAGTCTTTCTATGAAATGAAGATATGCTTGCTGATATAGTCCACAAATTTAGGTTGGCTTCAGCCGACAGGACGGATTTTGTCGGACTTGATCACCTTTGTAGTGGATACAACGAAGTCAGACTCTGTACCCTGGTTAGGAGAGTTGTTATTGATCGCGTAAGAGTAGCTCGCAAATCCAATCCTGACATGGCAAGATTATTGTTTCAATCCCGGCGATTGTTCCTGACTTTTTTCTTGCCACTTTCATAGGCTTTCGAGTCGGACGCTTCAAGGTGCGGAGATCTTATTGGAACAGCTCTCGAGTCACCGATTGGCGGGTTTGGTCAAGATTGCTCCGGAGCTTGCTTCGAGACTCGTGTACCTGATGACACAGTATATCTCAGGATCGACAGAGTTATGTGCATTAGCTTGTGACGTCCTGAAATCAACCTGCGACTGTATGCCAATGTGTTTTGATGAACTGCAGCTGGATCTCGATGACTGGGAGAATGAGATGCCGAAATCTGATCCAGGATCAGTTGAAAATTGTAAGGAAACAGGAAGTTTCAAAATCGATCAAGATCCAGGCTCGATTTTTGTGAAATTCTTACAAATGACTGTAGAAGACATCACAACGATCGTTCGTAATCAAGCATCAAAAAATCTGGCTGGAAAGCTGGATTGGATTCAATTCGCGACAGAGCTCGAAGTCAAGGGAAATGTTTATCAAGCTAAATCACAATCCATATCAAATCAGATGTGGACTGAATATCGCAACAAGACGACCATTGAATCAAGAAAGCTGGACGCTGCGACTGCCAAGATGCACACATGGGCCAAGCGTGTGCGAGAGCTCGATTCATCTAGATACGCAGATGTAAGAGTTTGATTTTTACAAAGTCCACCCCTTCAGTGTAGAACAGCAAAATATTTGGTGAATTGACTTCGAAAACTGATATGAACAGATTCGCCAAGATAACCACGAGATCAAGCAATACTTGGAAATTCAATTGAGCAAACGGATTTCGGAATTATACAGACCGTTTGCAGTGCTAGGTAAATCAAGCAATAACACGCCGTCGTATTGGTTTCTGGATACGACCGAAGGTCCTAGTCGACAAAGACGGAAACTGCGACGAGTGCCAATCAAGATGGACACACATATTGTTCAGCAACGCAAAACACGACATCATAGGGTAAGAAGTCTAGGCACCTCACGCCGAGATTCATATCAAGACCTTCCCGATTCTCACAAGCTTGTAGAGACAATGATCTCCGATGTACAATCACCTAGCAGCCCGACATCTGCTACAATGACTGAGCACGATACTTGGAATGAGAATGATGGTCTGACTGCTAGCCCGCCCGAAGGATTGAGTTCTCTTGGATCCACTTCCGCAACTGAAGGTGTTAAAGAACTATCGGTTGATTTTGCCGAAGATCGATCTCGACGGATATTGAAATCTTTGGAGCCGGGAGATGTGATTCAAGCCGTTTGGAATGTGGAGCAGGTCATTGGTTTAGATACCTGTCGTAAGTGATTTCTCCGATGACAATCGAATCTCGATTCATGTGTAATTTACTCATGCATCTCATTGCATTCGCTCTTTGAATTATAGCGGGTCTTTTCCTCATTGCTAAGAACAAGTAAGTACAATTCTCTTGCTTGAAAGATCTGTTCAAAAATGTCCATTTGTCTCATTTCAATACGATGGGTAGTATATATATAATCGATGGGTTTATCCAGACTTCAAAGGGAGAGTTGGTCAACTCTTGGCAATCAGAGGCCTGGGAAGAGAGAGACCCACATCTACGAATGATGGCAACCTTATCACGGCAAACAGCCAAGCTTAATAGTCGGGCTGCGGCTCATCAAAGCCGGAGATGGTCTTATACAGATATAGTTGCGCTGTCTTCTCGAAAATGGTTATTTCGGGATATTTGCATGTATGTTACTTCCTTCTCTGCTTAGGAATGTCCAATGTTATCTTGAGAGATCCCATACTTGCCACTAATCATGGAACGCTCGAATGTACCAGTGAGTTTGTATTTGCAGACGGTCGAAGTCGATTGCTCACATTTTCAGGGAATAAACGGGATGAAGCTATGAAACGTCTACGGGATTGTATAGCCAAATCAACCGGATCTGAGCATTTATACAAACGGGAGAGTAATCTGAAGTCGCAAACTGAGTTATGGCAGTCTGGTCAACTATCTAATCATGGATATCTTCTGTATCTTAACGACGCAGGTCAGATCACCTTCCATCCTTTTGCCATAGTATACATTTGTTGATCTGATGAATTCTTGAATCTTAGCCGGACGCACTTATCGAGATCTAACACAGGTTTGTAATGGTCGCGATTTTTTCATATGGACTACAATGTCAGATGATCTGACTTGAGTGTTCTTTGTGTGGTTGGACTCCGATCTTCCAGCATCCTGTCTTTCCGTGGATACTAGCTGACTATCGCAGCGAAACCCTTGACTTGAAGAACCCGACTACGTTTCGCAAATTGGCTCTTCCAATGGGAGCTCAAACAGAAGCGCGCAAACGTACGTTGACATTACGTTGGATTTATCGTTTGTTTTTTCTAATGGGTGAAGTACTCTATGGCAGGCGATTTTATCGAGAGATATACTAGCCTAGAAGAGTTTGGAGCAATCGGTGATGATAAGATGAAGCCTGCTCATTACATGGTAATGATTACGCTGTTCCTCGAATATTAGCTTTCTGTAATTGACTTGACATGGTTGATTATGATAGACACATTATTCTTCAGCTGTGGTGGTCTGCGGGTTTATGATCAGACTGCAGCCTTTCTGTGACCACTTCCTTGAGATACAAGGATCCTTTGATCATGCGGATGTGCGTTATTTTGCTTATCGCATCTTTAACAAACTTGAGGCTGATTCTGACCCCTTTTTTTATCTCAGCGCACATTCTGGTCGATGGAAAGAGCCTGGCTCTCAGCTTCAGAGCAAAGTAGAAGTGACGTACGCGAACTGACCCCGGAATTTTTCCACTGTCCTGAGTTTCTAAAGAATATCAATAATTTCAATCTAGGTCCGTCAGACTTGACTATATCTCCCTTGTTAATCGGATCCAGTATGCTGATGATCTCCATACGTGTAATAATTTTCAAGGATCACGGCAGGAGGGCGGAACTCCCATTGATGACGTGGAGCTGCCCCCATGGGCCCATCGTGATCCCCGATTGTTTGTCGAACTACACCGAGAAGCTTTAGAGTCAGATTATGTTAGCGAGAATCTTCATCATTGGATTGATTTGAGTAAGTTGTCTTTTCAATTGGATGTCACATCGAAGCTGATGAGGATCTACTTTTTGAAAATCGCGCAGTCTTTGGCTTTAAACAGCGAGGTCAAGCCGCTTTAGAATCTATCAATGTCTTCCAAGAATGCTCCTATGAAGGATCGGTGTCTTTAGGTGTGTGGCTCTTGCGTTTGTTTCATCGTGACTCTCACTTATACATGATTGCTTTAGACAATATCCACGATGAAAGTGAACGTAGCAGTGTGGTAGGTGCGATGTGCAACTGGGGTAAATTGCTATGACACTTCTGATACCGGTTGAGAGAAATAACCAACTGACGCGATCGGATACTATAATACTTGCCAGGCTTAACTCCTAGTCAAATTTTCTCTGTGCCACACCCTCCTCGTGGAAAACAAGCCAAACATGCGTTTGACTCGAAATCGGTAATCAATTCATCAACTTGTTCGGCTCTGGTGCAATCCATTGTACCACTACAATCGATAGGCCAACCTATCAGTCATATTTACCCTGCACAGATGTTGGAAAAGACAACTGTGTCAGGGCTACGGTCATTATTGGTCCCTCCTAATGGTAGCCACCGTTTGGACTGGGGCTTCTTAGATCAGAGCTTGCGGATCTTTGATTCGTCGGGTGCCGTGTGTGCAACGTTCGAAGGGATCACATCGGAAGAAATCTCGGCAGCTTGCTTTGCCGATCATCGCACACTCGCCACCGCGTCGACTGATTCTACGATCTCCTTGTGGAGATTCACTTGGCGATTGACCGGACGGCCACATCTTCAACAAGTTGAAGTTCTACGAGGGCACTCAGCACCGATCACATGTCTGGTAACATCCCGAGTCATGTCGATCATTCTGTCTGGTTGCGCAGATGGTCTGGCCATGATTTGGGATTTGAATCGGGCTCTTTTGGTTCGCAGCCTACCTCATCCAACCCCGGTGACTGTAGCTGCGATTGTAAGTAACTTTGTTTGCTATAAGATACACTTTTTTATAAAGTCTGATGAATCGCTGTTCCGCAGAGTGACAGTACTGGTGATATTGCAACATGCTCTGAACTGACTGTTCGAATCTGGAGCGTCAACGGGGATTTGTTGAGTACGTTGACGGTCTCCCAACACCATGCCGATTTCATTACTGCATGTGCCTGGTCTACGGTGAGTCTGTTTTGCCTTTATAGGTGTATATGAGACTGTTACCTAATGATCGCTTATACCGCCAGGCTGAAGTCAAGCCCTTGCTCATCACTGGTCACCGAAGTGGAAAAATTATGATGTGGCAGAGAAAAAGCGCGCATGCTGAGAGTTTGTCGAAGCGTACGTCCCATCTCTCATCTAGTGAAATTCAAGTAAACTCAAGGTTGTAATTGATATCTTTGTGACTTTTGGAACACAATTTCAGCTTGGAAGATGGATCTCATACATGTCTTCCAGCAAGAGTCAGGTTGCTCTGTGACTGCTTTGGCTCTGTCGAATCGGGTCATGCTTGTCGGAGACGCGCTAGGAAGACTATTCCCCTGGGCCTTGCCAGGTTCCGCTGTACCAATCCCTGATGGTGAGCCAAAAGCCCTGAGAGCAGCCTAGTACATCACTAATGATTGGTACTTTGATATTCAGCGGTCAGTTCAATCTGTATGGTATGCGATCACAAGTTTGGAATCTTGGAAGGGCGACGTCGATGTTTGGCTTGCGCTGCAATCATTTGCTCGTCATGTCAGGATTGCCTTCCTGGCTCCGTACGGTAGGTCCATTGTATTGTGGTTATGCTCGAGACTTAATCTTCTGCTTGATACTAATTTAACCTTTTTGTGATCAGCTGTTGTGTGGTTTGTGTTGCCAGACTGACAAACTATCAAGAACCTAAACAGTGACCAGACGTCTCAATCTTGGCCACTTATTGTTTTATTTTTGGGGGATTAAAGGATGAAAAGGTGAAAAGTATTATTAGTTGAATGTTGTATGCTGAAGATAAACTGGTATACGATTCCATCACTTGCAAGCTAGTTGAGCATAATTTGTTGATATCATTAGATGTGTGCTTTTTCATTTAGATTTTTACAAGAATTTCCATTTAATCATTGCAAGCAACACTGTTTTTTCATTAGTTTTTTATGGCATCAATGTGCTTATAAATGTATTTTTACAAGAATGGATCAGAGCCGTCCATCCACGTGTGGCGCCCTAAATCATCGGACCCGAACTCAATGAAATGATGCGCACTTTCATATGGTCAGCACCTGAACGTCTGTGCTAGATCACAAAAGATGATCTAGATTGAATATATTTTATCTCATCAGCACTCAAAAACTCAACTCTGAGTCGCCAAAAGATTTTTTTGGATAAAAAGGCCCCATAGTTTCAGTTTAGGATTGATCTGAGCACTCTCAGATCAATCTGAAGGTGCCAGATCGATCTGGAGACGTTCTCAACTCGAGTCACTCACCAAATCATACAGCGTCAAACAAGCACATTCCTGACAATTTCAAGTGGTACAATCGTTATAACTCTTATTACTCACGAGATTGACCACAAATTGATAGCTACACTCAACCTGGGCAGGTGCCCAGCAAGTCAACGTCAGTAGTGTTCTATCAAGTCGTATACTAACTCGTACCTACAATTTAAATTCTGCAAACAGTTCTTTGTCCTTCTCTAATAATTTTTCATCCAATAATGGTACATCTCTAATTGTAACATTGGAATAAGGACATCAAGAATATGTAAAAGAAGCAAAAGTGTTAGTTTGTCTTTCTCTAATTGGGAAAAGAAATGCATCAGGACCCAGAAGAATCCCTAGCTACAGAGCTGGATAAGAAGAAAAAGTCTCAATACTTTATCCACAAAGGTTCCCAAAAGTGGGATTTGTGTTGTGCCTCCCAGTCTGAATTCTTGCAAAAAATGCGTGTATTTATTGCCAACCACTTCAACGAAGTATCTATTGATCTCTGATTGGCTGCAGAGTAGGGGTTGGTCGAAAGCTTGTTCGGTACTGAGGAAATTTTAGATCTTCCAATGTTCCCGAGGTAAGTAGGTTGCCACATGCCCGAGCGAAACAAGAACCATGGCGTTTCTTCGGGTTTGGGGCTAAAAGAGATGGGATCGGAACGAGCGACATGGCAAGGTCAGTTGATTCCCATCACAATCTTCTGTAAACCAAACATTGGTCAAACACACAGATATGCATTTCGTCACAAATCCCAGCACCATAACAATCATGTTTCTCATCTCTCTATGGGATTGTCAATCATTTGAGGAACTGATCAACAAGATTTCACAATAACAAAACAAAAATGCATCCATATAATTTGGCTGAGGTAATGATAATTGTCCTTGATGTCAATGTAAAACTGGCTGCAGACCCCTTGTCTGCTTTACTGCTGAGATGGGTACTGACACCAAAGAAACTCAAGTGAATACCTCAGATTCAATGTGGTAGCAGTTAGTGTTCACAAATCCATGTCTTCTCCTGCTTGTGACATTTCATTGCACATTTCCAGATACACATCTACTTTGAAGATAACATGCAAGACTCTGTCACTAGATTTGGGATTTCAAACACAAATCTCCAAAAGCAAAAAAAAACAGAGTGAGGAATGATCATCAGGCTCATGAGGAATTCATTTGATCAAATCATCAAATCTTCCAGCTAATTTGGGGCTTGGTTCATTAGTGAGTTGAGGGTTGGGAAATTGTTTGTGTTCAATTCCAACAAAATTGTGTCACATTGTGGCATGCATGCTCACGTTCAATGGTGAGAATCAGATGTGATGTAATATCACATATGTGCCAGGCAATAAAAAGCTTGTGCAATGTGAAATCACACAGATTTCACGCAATCCAACCCGTGAGATCACCTACTTTGGTGTGATCTTAGCCCCAATCTAGAGATTGTATCCACTATCTTCTATTTTTATCATAGTAAAGGGAACCAGAACCAACTTTGAGGGGTAAGAAGTGAAAAAAAATGACATTCAATACCCATGCATTACCAATACTTCAAACCTCTCATCCTGAACTCAAAGACCTGACTTCTTCTTTATCACCCATCACTGAAACCAGCACTTCATTTTCAATGATGAACAAGGTCATTGGGGTAAAAATGTACAATGATATTGTGTCCTTGAACACAACACAAACACAATCTGGTCATTCCACTGATGATCTAGCATTGATATCACACTCTCAAATCAAATCTCTATGATTCAACTCAGTAGATTTGATCAAGTCATTCTCATTTTGACCAAGCACTGTTCAAGTCATTCAAGTCAATCACTTTGATCAATTCTACTAATATTAGTACAATTCAATTGTTTACATGACTCACCTGAACTTATTCCATTAAAAGGTAGTTACACATATCTTGTCTATTTATGTTTTCATTGGTGAATTCGGATTATGCTATTACTTTTTAAGTTCTCTATTATTATTATCATTATTATTACAACTATTAAACTCATACCAATTGGCAGTACTATACCATAATCCTTAAACCCATGGCTAGGTAACTTAAAGAGTTATCTTAAAGTAACTTGGCATGTGTGAGGGGGCTGAGAGGCTGTGGGTTGTCCAAACCAGCTTGGATGTCTACGTGGTTGGGTGTAGAGGCAGGTGGGAGGAACAGAAAAATTTGTGAAGAAACTAATGAGAGGTTGCTACACCTTTCTGGCTAAGAAGTTGGTGGAGTGGAAAGGAAGAGTGGTTGACTTGAGGAAGGTAGAGTTTATTTTGACTCAACTTTCTCACTGTTAGTCTCCCCCGTGGACCTGACAGGGTCTCCTCTTCCCGCTGGTACCAAATCTTCCTGGTACCAGTGGGTGGCTATCCTTCACCAACACCTTTCTATGGAATTTTACAGTTGATGTTGTGCCTTTGGGAACTGGTAGCATTGATTCTCGACATCATGGATGCTACCCTTCTATCAAAGCCATGCTCACCCTCTCAAGTTATGAAGAGAATGATCCAAATCCTTTGTTACTTGTTGGGCATAATCCACAGATCAAACCAAAACTTCTACATCTTCTTATACCATATCAGAGAGATCTTGAAACAGGAAAAGGTTCCCCTACATTACAATCAACCTGTCTGACAAGAGAAAGATCAAATCAGAGTGACTTCCAAAGTTATTTTGAAGATGATACAAAATCAGAAACAAGTTCTTCAGCAGAAGGATCAAATTCAAGTACAAGTAAAGGTTGATCATCTTCAGTTGGAACAACAAATTCTACCTTGATTTCAATTCCTTTGATTTATCTACACTGGTTGGAGGAGATTCATTACTTGTTGATCAGGGTAGGTACCACATCGATTATGATCCTAATTATCTTATGATCCCTTCTGGTTTTTAACCATAAATGAGAGAGGATTTAAAACAAAAGTTTTGTTCTCCTTTTTCCACTCACAATGCCTTATGATGTTCATTTTTTTCCGTTTTGGATTTGCTCAATTTTGCTTTCTCTTTTTCTAGACAGGCCTTGGATGGGGAAGAATTTGAGTGAGATTTCACTTTGATTTAAGACTAGTTCAAAGAGGACAAATAGTAAAAAACATACACATAGGGAAACATAGAAGACCTGAAAGCGAAACCGATATAGGTTATTACAAACGTCTTCAGTTCAATAGGTTCTTTTTGCTCGTGAAATTCTAATTGGTGGCATTTTTCAAGGGGTGTTTCATATTCATGCAAGTTGATCTGATTTTGGGACAAACTAACTCTGCTGTTGGAACTTTAAGGTTGTGTTAAGCAAGGTGTAGATTCCTTTTTCTTTCATCCATGGCCTTAGGTCAACAAGTAGCTCACAAGAGTAACATTGGAGTAAAATTGGTTGCAAGAAATTGACCACATAGATTACCATAGCTTGGTCAGAATACTGCCCTGTCTTGAATATTCTTGAAACACACCAAGTTCTTAGATGAACCACTTTCCACTAAACCCCAACAATATATGAGGTGAGCTTCATTGATTACTTTCAGAGCCAGCCTTTGTTGAAATGTTGGATGAAAGGACAAATTTGTGAATAGAGTGCTATTGAGAAATATCTCCGGACTCTGATACAGGAATATGATCAGAGACATAGCTCTCCTTAAATGGAATACATAATTTACTTCACTCACTAAGTAAACAAACTGATATTTACCATCCAGTATCTCTTGGCATACAGCCTCAGTAAACAACTTTTGTGTCAGACTTGCAGTGGTGAATCTGTCCTTAATTTTTTCAAACACCTAAAGACAAGTCATCACACCAACGGTGGCACGGCTAAGCTAAGTTAGCGCTTAGCGGTGCATTAGCTTAGCAATTTTTTATTGCTAAGCTAACGCTAAATCCTTAGCGCACTCAAGCTAAGCTAATGGAATTTTGATTTTTCCTTTAGCGGGTCTGCGCTAAGCTAAGCCGGAAGCTTAGCTATCAAACAAAAACATCTTTTAAGTGCAAAAAAGGGCCGCTAAGCCGCTATTAGCGGTTTAGCGGCCAATTAATTGGCTTAGCGGGCGTCATTTTACGCCCGCTAAGCTAATGGCTTAGCGTTAGCGGAAATCCACTAAGATTAGTGTTAGCGGATTTTTCCTTAGCGGCTTCTAGCTAAGCTAAGCCAAGGTGACAAAAATCCTTAGCTTAGCTTAGCGAGCCACCGTTGATCACACAACATCTGTGGTCGGTCACGGGAACCACAGTAGATCATGATAAATGGTAGCTGGTTGTTGCCAAGTGCATCCAGTGGATTCATGACCATCACAATTGGATTATCAGCCTTTGACAAGGTTTTGAGATACATCTTGGCAACCTTGCTCTGCCCAAATCCTGTAGTTGCCAATAGAAAAGTGTTCCACATTTTGATGAGAAAGATCACCCATCCAACTTTCAGAGGGCGTGGCTCAATGTTGTATTGCTTTCGAAAACTACATTCAATGATGGACCTCCTGAGGGAGGTGTTTGCTTGCGCAATTGATTCAAGGTATTGTGGACCCTTTTTTGTTACCACAATAGGTTGGTTCTTGGACCCTTTGGATAGATTAAACTTCCGGCAGACTTACTACGAGTAAGCAGAGCCATGATTGTAAGAACACAAGATGAGTTAGGACAAAGCTATTGAAATTTGAGAAGTTATTGTTTTTGCAGAGGTGTGCCAAATTCAACTCAAGACCTTTACTGTTTGACAAGTATTGGACAAGACTTTTACTTTTTGACCAAATTACAGATCCGCACTTGACCTACATATGTTTCCCAAGCCCCAAACTTTGAGGACAATTTTTTCACGGAGGGGAATGATTTCCTCGGGAAAAAAGATTTGTACAACATGTGTGTTACTCTGGCGAACAACTTTTCTCTTTGGACCATACCGGATTCCTCGGTCTAGTCCAAGATAAAGGGGATTGAGGATTGTTCCCTGCAAGATGCTCAACCTTGAGGTTATGAAGCGTACAACTTTGGTGTAAGTCCCTTGCTCGCGTCAGCCTTGCGAGGCGAGCATGGGACTTTGTTAAGTTTACTTCAGGATCATCTTCCAAATTGATCTGTGAATCTTTTGTTTATTGAACAATGATTGTACCTTTTGAATAACACATAGTAAGAGAAAGTGGAAATCAAAATTAAAATTGATAACTGATAACTGATAATTGAATATTGAGAAGTGTAGAAATTAACAGTCTGCACATTCTGTGTATAATAAATGATAACCTATCTGTTGGTGTATGTAATCAGATATTTACACCTTTCTTTAAGCATTACTACTTGTAATTAATTAATTACATGAAGCTTTTTGTATGTAATGGGTTTGTTTGTAAGGGAGGTGATATGCCATTAAGGCGGCTTATGCCCTTTCTGGCAGTACACGTTTTGGGGAGATGAATGCAAAATTCAATCAAGAGATTCTCTAGATGAGGGAAAGGAAAGCTCAGGCTCACAATGGCTTCTCACTGGCTATTCTAAAAACCTCCTGGAGATCGGGACTTGCACTTTTGGATTGAATTGACATTTGGAAAAAGTATGGTCTATAGTATTGAATGGGTTGGAAAATGTTGTTGAAGATACAAATTGAAGATATTGAAATTGACAACTAATGAACAACATCCCAGTTACTGCCCTAGTTGAAGTTAGTACAAGAATACAAACACTTTTTTTTACTTTTGAATTTATTAGAAAATTAAATAGATATAAGATATAGGTATGTGAGAACAAAAAGACAGCAGATATCATTTTTTTATCCTGGGTAAGGACGTTCACGACAGAGTGGACATAAGAAGTCACGAGAGTATACCGCTAATTCAGTCAAGCAAGCCTCGTGAAGCCAATGAGAAGCATGACAAGAGAGAGGAATATAACGATCACCAGCTTGAAAAATACCAGCACAGATAGGACACTTGTCTTGATCTTCTTCGGGTAAGTCAGAGTTTTGATGAACAACATGAGAGAGGTCGGCAGTATGACGAACAAAAACATAGAGAGAAAACCATTCTGGAGAACCACGCTGAGGAAGATAATTGACTAAGGGAAGGCCTACACCATATTCTTTGAGGATTGGTTCAAGATCATTGATAATACGACTCCTGGTTTCAGTTGCTTTAACCCAAACGTCCAACTCGCCATTAACCCAGGTATCGCGGACCTCGACGTCTAGGATTGAAGATTCTGCATCTAGAATATGAAGAATAGAAGAAGGTAAAAGTCGTTCGTGAGGAATGTTGGAAGATGAGGCTTGATCGTCTAAGATAGTTTGAATAAAGTGAATGATGTTGAGGAGATCGGAGTAAGACGTAGTAGTTGGTATAGATTGTGACATTGATGAAAAGGTGGAAAGAAGATAGCAGAGAGTGGTGTGATAGAAAAGAGGTGAAAGATAAGATGAAAGATAAGAGGTGATTCTAGTATAGCAAGAAGATGGTTGGTGGTCTGAAAGGAGGTGGAATCGTTGGTAAAAAAGAAGTGTGTTATCTTTTGCGAACAAGAGATTTCAAAAGCTTTATACTGGTCGAAAGCTGATCCCTCTTCAGCATCCAGTACTTGGACACATACTCAGCTGCTGATTTCCTGTATGAAAAGGAATTACTTTTCACAAAGATTCTGGCGAGCTGAACATTAAATAGTATCACAGGTCTTGCTGACTTCTTTCGAGTTGTACAAAATGACTACATTTCTGATGAGATTTATGCATTTCTGGAAATTTCTCTTTCCACAAACGACTCCTTACTCGCTGAAGCAATCCTTACACGCTTTTTTGCCAGCCGCATCAAGAGTGGTAGGTTGTACATTTCGTTTGTGATTCATCATGGTTGCTGCTCAACGATGACTGCTCGCATTATCAGTTCAACCAACACAAGGAACAATAGCGCGGAGTATGATATGTTTTTACAATGACAATAATTTCCAATCTGAACCTCATTCTGAACCATAGGTCATGATGTGTTACTTAAACTGTCATGGCTTGCGGGGTATGGCAGATAATACACATTTTCAGATACATGAAAACCTTTTTCAATTCTGAACAAACCATTCCCATAATGTCCAGCGCTCGGAATCATTTACAATGGATTAAGCTTTACGCTCGTTGATATTCAGCCTGATTTTTTAGTCAACTCGAATCATAGAATACTTGTGTTTTGATCACTGGACATACGCGATAAAATGCGTTTTATCAGATACTTCAGGTCTTCAGTTTTCTTGGTGGAATATTTGAAGACTCAAAAAAACCGTCACTTATATGTTATGTATACATTTCTAGATCCACATATACTTTCTATACATTCTGTATTCATTGTATGACAAGATTTTGTATGCTTGATTGTGAATTCAGGCTAATCTGAGATAGATTGTGATCCCCGCTCATGGATACCTTGCCGCGCTTGATCAAATCAAATGAGGATTGGCAACCTCGATGATAACATAGTGCTCGCATTCTCTTCAATGATCCATCCGAGGAGGGACTCGTGCTCTTCACTATCAAAATTCTAGGGGGCCATCTTTGATCATTCACATCATTAATGCGACAAGGAATGCTTAACCCCTCTGTTTCGAAAGAGACCGGCGGAACGCCATAACAGAGCGCCCCCAATAGATAATGTGATTTCATAGTAAGGCAGGCAGGCTAGGCAACGAATCAAGGTGAAACAGGTGGGCGCTACATTTGCACGACAGAAAAAGTCGATATTTTCAGTCATAAAAGCAGATTTTCTTCTACAAACAAGGCTGTGCAAGGTTGGTATAGGCTAGTCAATTCAACTTATCATAAACGCTCACCTCAATTCCGGTGCGGTATGTATCGATAGCATATCAACCAGTGACAAAGACAGCCGCCCAGATTTTTGAAGCTTTGAATCTCAGAACTCAACTCATTACTCGTGCGTCTGCATCTCCCTTGATCTGATTTGATAAAAAGTGCATTGTCTGACTTGAGGTTTTGAGCTCGAATGATATAACTCAGAACTCGCACTTTTGAGCTGCTCTGAATTTTGCAAACATGATAACAACACAAGTATTCCAACAATTCTACATGTCCCAGCTTGCACAGCTCATCAACACTGTTTGTTCAGAGAAAGAAAAACAACATCTTGGTTGTTCGATTTTTGGTTTACAGAGGCATACAAATTGTTAGATATGTGGAATACGAGGTACAATCGGGTACGATCACATTTCTTTGATCCAGTCCTGGTGGATTTGAAACAGTCAAATGCGGGATCATACCACCCTTCGCATAATCAGATTGATCTCTGGTAGCTTGCGGATCGGCAGTAGCATAATAAATCACCAATCTGAGCTCTGAACAATCGTGTCTTCGGAAAACAGACAGAATGTGAGATGCAACTCTAGAGGAGCGAATAATTGATCCAAATTCCACACTGATCAAACAAGCTTCTTTCACACTTGAGCTTGAACTATGTATATAGAGTTCTGCTGAATGTTTGAATTTTTATCAAGTTCGATATACCTCGGGTTCAGCAAGTGATTGCAGTGGTATGCTAGAGTGATGCAAAAACATAAAATTAATTCGAAAGATTCGATCGGTTCGTCTTCTGTTTCTGAGATTCAATGCGAGTTACAGAGGAGGAGAGATGAGAGGAACGAGCCATGAGGTTTGTCTTCGGAAGCGGAAGGTTCGGGAGCGTAAGCGTATCAGTCTTCACGGGAGACAATAGACGACCGAGAGACAAACAAGAGGCTAAGTACCAAGTAGACACTGAGAGACACCACTACCCGCAGACACAAGCACCAAAAGAGCTTGTACAGACATGCATCTCAAGAATGTAAGCTGCATCCCAGGGATGCAAAGTCTGATAGCTACTATTTATGGATAATCAATGGAGGGGTTATGATAATGTTGAACTCTTTCTGCGAATTTACTGACATTTCATCCACCATAACGATGTGGAAATTATGACGAGATCATTTCATACTTTTGGTTTTTTAATCAATCGATCTATTCAAAAAACCAAAATCGGGTTTGAAATGATTGAAATACTCAAATCGAGTTCATTCTTTTATATTTCTTTTGAATCAAATGGGGTAATTTCCTTTTGACCTTTCATTCCGTTTGTTTTGCTCCAAACGTGGCGATGGACCATTCATAAAACCTGACGAAATCTTCAAATTGAAGATTTCACCATATCGCTGGGATAGATTTCAAGCGGTTGGCGATGTTTTTGAAAAGCATGATAGCAAAAGACAGAATAAAACGGTAGTGACGAGCTTGGATGGGAGTCGATTGCGAGTCAGACAAACGCAGGGGTACTGCTTCAGGCAGATTGATCAAGACACACTGTACAGAAAGCTGTACAGCTGTTGTCTCCCGTTGTCTCCCGTGAAGACTGATACGGCTACTCTCCGGAAGGTTCAAGGCATGACTTCATAGACAGAACACTCTGTTTATAGATACTCGACCCGGTCCCTACCCTGGGTGGTGTTGGGGCCCGACGGTCACATCATTTTCAGTTCGGGATTCAAATCGAAACGGAATGATCAAGCCTGAACACAATCACCACATTTCATTTGACATGTCGAACTGACTTAAGAAAGAAATACGACTTGGAAGCTACAATGAATGCATTCGACGGATTACCATTAGAAATTATTAACCAAATCCTACAAGAGTTCATCAAGAAATTAGACAAAGAAAACGGAACACCTGGATATTATGCACCTGGATCAGCGGCTTCGGAAATCGACCTTCAAACTTCATCATATACGGAATTGATAAGTTTAAGATTAATCTCTAGAACATGGTCCAAAGCTGTTATACCGTTTTATTTTCAAGCAGTCTCAATAGATGGCTCAAGACGTGCAAAAGTGTTCATAAAGAATTGGAATAATGATTTATTCAAGCCTTTTCATTGTCCGGTCAAAAGACTCACGATTCAAGCACTTTGGTCTTCCGAACAGGAAGTCGAAGGGAATGAAACATCAACCACATGCGATGATCAGTGTCGAGGGCTTGTGTGTGAATGTTCAAGTTGCATTGGATCACAGCCGGTTTCATTGAATCAATCAGCAAGATTGATTAATTTACTCGGGGCGAACTTGACGACTTTGAGGATCAAGCTTAGACACTCTATAACATCTTCTCCTGGTTTGATCAAAGCTATCGAAGCAATCAAAGATTTAAAATCTTTTTACATCTCATTTGAACCTGGCGAAAAACTTGGAATTTACAATGTAGATTCATTATCAGAAATATTCTCAGTGATACCAAAACTTGAGTGTTTATCGTTTCATGATCTCCCAGGATCTTTCAATATAAAATCTGCTGTTTTATCAAGTTTGCACTGCTTTTCCTTTTCAGCAGGTGCTTGTGATTTGAAAGGATATTCTCGTATCACTCAGACCGCAAAAAACTCATTAAAGATCATTGAACTGCTTGTTGGAAGAAGTTGTATTGGAAGTTTAGAACCACTTTTTGAACCTATCAGGCATACGCTAGAAGGTCTCTATGCAGTATCATTCACTCATCAACTTGGAGATGTTGCACTTTTAGATTTTCCAAATTTACGAGTCATTAGAACCCACTTTCTTCCTGAGCAACCGGAATCTGGTGTTCATTGGTTACACCTTCCAGTTCTGAAGAATGTCAGAACGATTGTGACAGACATCTATTCGGGAGAAAAGCATTGGCAATGGGCTCCAAAATCAGCTTTTTTGAATGCTTTGAAAGAAATGCCTAATTTGAAACATATTGTATTCACTAAAGATGGAAACATTGAAAGTCACACTATTACTCCTACATTTTCCAAAGCACTTCAATCCCATGGGATTAGATGCCGTATCACTCATCTCTTGACCCCTAGCGAAGTCATTGTGTGTTTAATTTTCAATATAACTCAAACAACTCATTGTCCGTAAAGTCTTTCCAAATTTTCATACTGACTTCTTCATTTAATAAACAGCACCTAGACTACGAACTGAATGGTCCAATGTAATAGATAATCAGATTCACTTATTCAAATCCCTTATTCGCCGTTGTTGTATAGTTTCTAACAAGCTCAGTTTTTGAATGATCAGATAATTGCAATGATATGATCATCCCTGGGCATCTTTGCTTGAATAAATCTAAGTGGTTACAATTGTATAGCTTACTCATCCGTTGTTTACAACAAAGTGGACATAAAAAGTCACAAGAGTATACCGCCAATTCAGTTAAACAAGCCTTGTGAAGCCAATAGGCCGCATGACAAGAGAGAGGAATATAACAATTTCCAGCTTGAAAGATACCAGCACAGATAGGACACTTGTCTTGATCTGCTTCAGGTAAGTCAGAGTTTTGATGAACAACATGAGAGAGGTCGGCAGTATGACAAACAAAAACATAGAGAGAAAACCATTCTGGAGAACCACACTGAGTCACTCTCTGCTGAGGCCATATTGTGGTGCTCACACGGCCTCCAAACGGCCTTGGCCCGGTCGCTTTGAGGCAAGGACCCAACCCGTCCATTGAAGGACATCCCAGGATCAGACATGCGTGCAGGCCCTATCTTTGGACGCTAGCTGCGCACGCCTGTGCCCACACCCCCCTGGCTGCATGTGTGTGCCTCTGTCCACCTGAATCTGGACACTATAGTTTTCTTGGTGATGTTTTATCAACTGAGATACTTGGACTGATTGATAGTCCATATAATCAATTCAATACACCAATCCTTGGTAAGTATGGTTTGGGGGCTTACTTTTCTGCTTGACTATCTTTGATGTTGGTTTCTTTGAGGATGGCCTAATGGCTATGTTGTTTTTTCAAATAGACCTTGAAATAAAGCGGACCTACATCATTTTTATGTGATTGGGCTCTTAAATGTGTCTAATGATCAAAAGAAGATTACAAATTGATTCCAAAGTTTATTTTCAAACTTTCAAGTCAGAAAAAGAACTCCAGAGTGCAAGACCTAGGTACATTGTCACAACTCAATTTTTCCCCTCTCACTTTTCAATGAAAAATCAGTCTTTCAATTGACAATAAATTAGTTAGAGATATATCTAAATCCATGGAAACATTTAAATTGTTATTCTAATGAGGTTTAACAGAAGGTCTGCTTCCTAATGGTATGTGCTTCAAGGTATTGTTCAGAATCAAAGCTTGCAGGTATCATCTATTGAGTACCTCTTTCAAGATCAAAACTGTTCACTCACACTGCCTGCATAGTTCCCTTGGCAACAAATCACCGTGTCCGTATCCGTGTAGCACGTCGACGTGCACACACCAAATGCTTTCAATACATACTTGAAAGACCCATTAAAGAGGTCTCCACAATAGGCATGTCTTCCCTTTGTCAACTGGGACGTTGGCACTCAGTTGACCCCAACTGCTGACAAAGGATCCCAAAAATTCTTTTGTCAAACTGTCATTCACAAAGGGTGCTCGGCACCAATCTCAGTCTAAAGCCTACCAAACAGCTTTCTGTTTTTTTTCAAAACTCTCCGTGTGTGCACGTCAACGTGCTACAAGGATACCGACATGGTGAATGTCTGAGGAGTCCTTGGATGGCCTCCCCCAAGGAAAAGGGCACCTGAGGAAAACCTCCAAGACAAATTTTGGCCCTGGCCCTTGCCTCAGATTGGATCCTTGGATGGAGCTTGCCTTGGAGTCAAAATCTGAGGACTCCACAGATTTTTGCATCTGAGGCAAATATGCTGGCTGTGTCAACGTTGACATCTTGATTGCAGCACCTGCCCCTGAGATGCTAGTTATATTTTTAAGCTTTGAGACTTATAAACTTTGTGACTTCTGTAAGGTCCAGTAGACCTTCACTGATTATCTAGATCTCTCACATCAGACTCAACTCAAGAGCGCTAGTTTAGAACTTCTTTTTGTATTTCGAACTAAGACCTAGCTCCAGAAAGTCCCAGGAATGGCTCTCAGAAGAGTCAGCCAACCACAGTAATGAAAAGGACCAAGAAAACCCTAAAGGGGAAACAACAAAAGAGAATGAAACTCACCTAGCTCCAGAAAGTCCCAGGAATGGCCTCAGAAGAGTGAGGACTTTCCAGAGCCGGGTGTGGAAGAGGAAAGTAAACTACAGTCTGTCTAAACCCATGACTACAACCCATTACTAGCTTCCTACACGTGTACCTCTTACAACTTCTTGAACTTTACGTTTGGCTACACTTGTAAAACTCCATAACATGTTATAGACCACCAAATCTAAAAAGCCTTTTTCATTCAAAATCTTTTATGAGTTTCGAAAAAGACGTGATGTTCGGCAACGATATATGATCAATATATCAGATCATATATCACAATATTTTCAACTGATCTGAAAAACAGCCTTGAGGCTGTTTTTCAGACAAAAAACACTTTTTGCCCCTCTCTTGATTGAACTTTGTCAAGTTCAATCACGATCGTGGCGATCTTTTGATAGCTGTTTTGGACAACTTTTTGGTAAATTGTATAACCAAATTACACTCTTTCAATCTGCCCCTTGCAAAAGGGGCAGATCAAAAAAGTGTTTTTGTGTAACACTTTTTGGGAAACGCAGCCAAACAGGCCCTTAAGCTTGCGATTGAGAATTTATGTTTTCTTCTTTTCTTCAACTTTCTTCTTTTTCTGATCTTTTCAAATTTGATAGTTTCTATTTGCTGCTATCCAATTGTGGGATACAAAGTAGAATCTGGGCAAATTAGTATAGACATAAACCTCAGTATTAGGATCATTACACCACCCAACTTCTGATCATGGAGTCAAGAAATAGACAGAATCTGGACAGTTTTTGTGTCACTTTTTTTTAGACATCTGATTCTGATGTGCCTCAAAATTAGTGGCTCTCAACTCAAGCACTGTGGAAGCACAGCTCAACTCCTTGCCTGAAATATGATGAGCCATTTTGAAGAATAACAAAAAGGAGAATATCCAAGGCATTTTCAGGTCTGTCTGGTGAAGACTACTTGGAACTACTACATGATTCGGTGAGCTTATTACCAGAAATCAAGATATATCATTAAATTTTTCAAGAAAAGCTTCCATTATATATTGACCTCATGTTGACTCCTATTAATCCCATTGGATTCAAAAATGAATCCAGGAACTCGAGACAAACACATCAACTTAAGGATTGCGTTTTGAATGAATCATCACTAGAAAATCTCTCTTGAATGAAAGGACCTCAGGTTTGACATTTAATTTCCACGCTACACTTTTGGAATTTGCCTTTTTCGCCACACGATGGTTGACCAGCTGGACACCCAGGTACGCCTTTGGTACATTTTGCTTTACTATTTCCACACATGGGTAGCTTAGGCTTTGGGACGGTATTTCCACCGTTACCACTGTGGTGCCGACCTCTCCCTTCGGCAATGGATGCAATCATTGCAAAGAGGCCCAAAAAGACCACAAGGAGTTTGAAATACCGTTGAGACATCTAGCGCAAGTAAAAGTGAAAATTTCATGTCAACATTCACATGTCACCAAGAAATTATCTTGTGAGACTTCAAAAACTGACCATCTTAATATGTTTTGGATTTGATGAGTTTCGTTCTGAGGATAATAGTCTGAGTGATAATCTTCTTCTAGAGGAACAAAAGGGTTTTAGAGGAAAAAGTTAGGTCAGGTAAGTGATTTACTGGAAGAGTAAGTGAAAAGATAATGGAGTAATCACAAGGTATAGTTTGTAATAGCTGAACGAGATCCAGTCTCAGTCAAGTAAAATTAATATTGGATGATGATCAATGATGATGTGGACTTTGAGCTTCAAACAGAGCCCTTTTATAGGCAAAAGGAAGCCCTTCAGAGACGACGAATCCTCATCTCTGACCAGCCTTCCAACTTACTTCGGTCACACTGCAGACACACCCTCTTAATGACTGGTGGGGACGTTTGCACGTTGTCGCGATCATGAGAGCCCGCATCGGGGGTTGGTAGACATGGATTCACGAGGTAAAAGTCACTCTGATCTTTGTTTGAATATTCAAGCGACGAGTGGCCAGCCTTCTTGTCTTCATGATGTAAGTGCTGATGACGAGAAACTGTCTAACGTGGGGAGTTCATTACATAGACACTCGACTGAGGAGCATGTTTCATTTCCGTAGGCACAAAGGCTATCAGTCGGGCCGGTTGTCTCGAAGCTATTTGCCTGGCAACATCGCTTTGAATTATTGTGATCAGCAACATGAGTCATCACCTCGTAAAAAGGCCCATTGTGCTGGCTCAATTCTCACGTTTGCTTTACTCTCGATCGCGGTGGAAATCTGACACCGGACATCAATCGATTTATCATTGATTTGTGGAAGATGGTACTCAGTACCCACTGTGTCAGAGCTCATGCGAGATATCTTATAGCCCGATGGGCTTGTGTGTGAATGTTCAAGTTGCATTGAATCAATCAGCAAGATTCATTGATTCACTCGGGGCAAACTTGACGACTTTGAAGGTCAAACTTATAAGACACTCTATAACATCTTCTCCCGGTTTGACAAAAGGTATCCGAGCAATCAAAGATTTAAAATCGTTATACATCTCATTTGAACCTGGCGAAAAACTTGGACTTTACGATGTAGATTTATTATCAGAATTATTCGCAGTGATACCAAAATATGAGTGTATATCGCGTCATCATCTCCCAGGATCTTTCAATATAAAATCTCCTGTTTTATCAAGTTTGCGCTGCTTTTCTTTTCCAGCAGGTGCCTGTGCTTTGAAAGGGTAGTCTTGTATCACTCAGACCGCGAAAAAAAAATAAAGATCATCAAAACACTTGTTGGTAAAAGTTGTGTTGGAAGTTTAGAACCACTTTATGAACCCGTTAGAAATATGCTAAGAGGTCTATATGCAGTATCATTCACTCATCAACTTGGAGATGTTGCACTTTTAGATTTTCCAAATTTACAAGTCATCAGAACTCACTTTCTTCCTGAGCAACCGGAATCTGGTGTTGACTGGTTACACCTTCCAGTTCTGATGAATGTCAGAACAATTGTTGCAGACATCTATTCGGGAGAAAAGTATTGGCAATGGGCTCCGAAATCAGCTTCTTTGAATGCTTTGAAAGGAGTGCCCAATTTGAAGCATATTGTATTCACTAAAGATGAAAACATTGAAAGTCACACTATTACTCCTACATTTTTCGAAGCAGTTCAATCTCTTGGAATTAGATGCCGTGTCACTCAGCTCTTGACCCCTAGCGAAGTCATGGTGTGTTTAATTTTTAATATAACTCGAACAACTCATTGTCCGTAAAGTCTTTCCAAATTTTCATACTGACTTCTTCATTCAATGGACAGCAACTAGATTATGAACTGAACGGCCCAATGTAATATATGATCAGATTAACTTATTCAAATCACTCATTCTCTGTTGTTGTATGGTTTCTAACAATGCCAGTTTTTGATTTAGAAACAAGATGAAGAAACACTCAGAACCAGACTCACTGGTTCTTTTCGGGACCATCTGATTAATGTAAACTCGCTCTCTCTCATCCAAATGACATCTCAATACATTATGGTCAATAGTTTCGAATTGTTTAACTTTTGGTTATGTTGGATAAGCTACATATTGAAAATATCAGAATTGACAACTAATGAACAAGGTCCCAGTTACCGCCCTAGTTATTACAAGAATACGGATAGTTGATTTTATACTTTTGGATTTATTAAAAAAATAGATAGATATAAGATGTATGTGAGAACGAAAAGACAACAAATATCAAATTTATCTATTCAGGGTAAGGACGTTCGCGACAGAGTGGACATAAGAAGTCACGAGAGTATACCGCCAATTCAGTCAAGCAAGCCTCGTGAAGCCAATGAGAAGCATGACAAGAGAGAGGAATATAACGATCGCCAGCTTGAAAGATACCAGCACAGATAGGGCACTTGTCTTGATCTTCTTCAGGTAAGTCAGAGTTTTGATGAACAACATGAGAGAGGTCGGCAGTATGACGAACAAAAACATAGAGAGAAAACCATTCTGGAGAACTACGCTGAGGAAGATAATTGACTAAGGGAAGGCCTACACCATATTCTTTGAGGATTGGTTCAAGATCATTGATAATACGACTCCTGGTTTCAGTCGCTTTAATCCAAACGTCCAACTCGCCATTAACCCAGGTATCGCGGACCTCGACGTCTAGGATTGAAGATTCTGCATCTAGAATATGAAGAATAGAAGAAGGTAAAAGTCGTTCGTGAGGAATGTTGGAAGATGAGGCTTGATCGTCTAAGATAGTTTGAATAAAGTGAATGATGTTGAGGAGATCGGAGTAAGACGTAGTGGTTGGTATAGATTGTGACATTGATGAAAAGGTGGAAAGGAGGTAGCAGAGAGCGGTGTGATATAAAAGAGGTGAAAGATAAGATGAAAGATAAGGGGTGATTCTAGTATAACAAGAAGATGGTTGGTGGTCTGACAGGTGGTGAAGTATTGGTAAAAAGGAAGTGTGTGATCTTTTGCGAACAGGAGATTTTAAAAGCTTTATACTGATGATATGCTGATCCCTCTTCAGCATCCAGTACTTGGACACATAATCAGCTGCTGATTTTCTGTATGAAAAGCAATTACCTTTCACAAACATTATGGCGAGCTGATCTGGCGAGCTGAACATTACTTGGTATCAAAGATCTTGCTGACTTCTTTCGAGTTACACAGGCTGGAATGACTACATTTGTGAGGGAAATGTATGCATTTCTAGACATTTCTGGATACATAAATGCTTTTTTACATGCTCAATTCATTCTTTCATTCTTTCATGCTTTTCTGTCCAGCTCCATGGTAAATCAAGATTTGTCAAATGTGTTTTGTCAGCATCAGAATTCTCCCTTGACGATATCCGTTCACCCTCCAATCAGCCAAGACAAAGAACAATAGCGTAGGGTATGATATAATTCTTCCGATGACGATTCTTTCCGAGCTGAGCATCATGTTGGTTTCAACCGCGGGTGATACAGAGTTGCTTCGAGGTGTAAGCAATATCAGGTTGTAGTGAACAATATACATTTCCAGCTCAACTAAGACCTTTTTATATTCTGAACATATCATCCCCTGCGTTTTTAAAGTGCCATTTCGGCTCGCGGATTCTGGCCGCATTTTTTTGTTCACTCAAATCAGTTTTAGTGGATACTCATGGTCTTCACTTTCCTCGGCGGACTTTTCGATAACTCGCCACACCAACACGTACGTGGTATGCATTTCTAGATCCATCCTTTGTTTTCTCAATCAATTGCTTGATGATGTTTGACGCCTTACTGTTAATGTAGTTTGTTTGAGGTGGATTGTGATCCAGCTCATCTATGTCTCGCCGAACTATTCGATCATCTCAAATGATAATTAGCAAGATGGATCAACACTTTCTCGGAGTCCAATCACGGGACATGCTCATTTGAACCTATTTGTACCTATTGCAGTAAACACTCAAGATCTTCACTTTCAAAACTGCAGGCGGAGATCTAGGATAAGTTACACTATCAACACAACAAGGAACACAAGGAACACTCGCGTGGAACAGAGACCGTCGAGCCTTCATCACAGGGACCTCCAATAGATAATTGAGATTTCAAGGCAGACAGGGCAGGCAACAAAGAAGTATTGCAGACGTAGGTGTCAAATTTGCGCGACAGAAAGAGACGACAAAGTCCGTCTTCCAATCAGCGCCTCTGATACAAACTGCAAGTTTAATGATTCTGATCAATTCAAGCATTACGGGAGTTCACTTCATTACGGGAGTTCACTTCGTAACGGGCAGCCGCCGGGACAGACCCACAGATTTGCGAAGATTCGACTCAACTTTTTGTCAAGCTGTCCGTATTTTGTCTTTTTGAATCGGTCTGATGAAAGCTTGTGTTGTCCACATGGGGCTCAAGTGAGAAACTCTGAACGTGCGTTCGTTTTATACGCGACCAAGCTCAAGTCCTTCAAAAGTCTGGGATTCCGACTATACTATAGACTCGCGCGTCATAGAGAGAACTTAAGGTCGTGGATAAAGAATCATACTGATCTCCAACGGCTTTTGAGTTGGTACTCCATACATAGATGTATAGAACATCACTCGTCTGAGGTCTCGACCGTTCACCTCTCCTTGAAAATCTGTAAAACTTCGATATGCATTGCGAAAGCAGCGAGCAACAGATTCAAGTTCCACAAATTTCAAGGGAACATTTTTACCGATGTGGGCATTTTGCTCGGTGTTTGACTTCATCAAATTGCATATACCTCGGCTTCAAGATTGCGATAGGTTGCAGAGCCAAATTGAAGCGGTTTGGACACGCAGAATGAAGCCAGACGAATCAAGATGTTTTTGCCTTGTGTTTGAGAATAATAGCGAGTGAAAAAGGAAGAGTGTGGATAATTAGCAGAACAACCGATGAAGTTGGTCTTGGAAAGCGAACGGCAGCCTGTATGGACTGCACTTGGCCCTACTGTAAGCTTAACAAGACCTACTCGGGCTTGACACAGGCTACAAATCATTTTCAATCGGGATTATGAACCCGTTGACCACACCCAAGGTATCCATATAGTACAACAGAAGACCTTTTTCAATCGATAGCGAATCTCGATTCAAACTCAATCGAATCAACCCATCCACCTTTTCGCCCACAAGTCAATCGAGTGCTGTGACATACAATCTTTGAACGAATCGAGGTTCTGGACCATGTGACTTGCACTTCAGAGGCACCCACCAGATTTAATTTTACAATTCAAATTGACCTACTCTATTAAAAGGAGGAACGAAGAACGACCTTGTAGACACGATGAATGACTTCGGTAGAATCCCGATAGAAATCATCAATCAAATCCTGGAGGAGTTTATCAAACAATTAGACCAAGAACAACAGATACCTGCATCAGCGGCTTCGGAACTTAAGCTTACCACTTCAGCATATACAGAACTAATAAATCTAAGATTAATCTCTAAAATTTGGTCAATAGCTGTGGTACCGTTTTATTTTCAATCAATCTCAATAGATGATCCGAAACGTGCAAAAGTGTTTATAGACAATTGGAATGATGATTTATTTGAACCCTCTCATTGTCCGGTCAGAAGACTTACGATTGAAAATATCCGGTATTCAGAACAAGAAATCAATGGCATCGAAATATCCTCAAGAATTGATGATGAGTATCAATTGATCATGTCTCAATTTGCAGGTTTTATGGGAGCACCACGAGTTTCAATGGAACAGTCAGCAAGATTGATTGGATTACTCGGTAGAGACTTGAAGACGTTGACGATTCAATTCAGAGATCTTATGGCAGTTTCTCCTAATTTGATCAAAGCTATTCAGACAATTAAAGATTTACAATCATTATCTATCTCTTTTGAACAAGGCCAAGAAAGGGCAATTTACAGCGAAGATACATTATCACAAATACTCTCAGTGGTGCCTGAACTTGAGTGTTTGTCACTTATTGGTATCCCAGAATGTTTAAATATCAAACCTCCTGCTTTATCAAATTTGCGCTGCTTTTCCTTGTCGTCAGGTGCTTATGAATTGAAAGAATATTCTCGTATTACTCAAACTGCGCAAAGTACTTTGAAGATCATCGAACTTCTTCCTGATAGATGCCGTGTTGGAGGTTTGGAACCAATATTTGAACCCATAAAAGATACATTAGAAGGTCTCTATACTTTATCATTTACTGATCAATTGGGGGATGTTGCACTTTTGAATTTTCCAAACTTACAAGTTGTTAGAAGTCACTTTCTTCCTGATGAACTGTCATCAGGTATTCACTGGCTCCACCTTCCAATCTTCAAGAATGTTAGAACAATTGTTACACACATATCTTCAAGTGGAAAGTTTTGGCAAGCGGCTGCAAGATTGGCTTTTTTGAATGCTTTGGAGGGAGTGCCTAACCTGAAACATATGGTCTTCACTAGAGCTGAGAAATTTGAATGTCAACCTATTTGTTATAAATTAGCCATACCACTGGAATATCGCGGGATTCAATGCCATGTCACTCCTCACCTAACACCTAGTGAGGTTCTGGTGTGTTCATTTTTTTTATAAATCATCCATATTGCTGCCGCAAAAGGCTTTTGAACATCTAGACTGATTTCTTCATATGCTCACCAGGAACTTGATTATAAACTAAACACCCCAATGAAATAAATCATCAAATTCACTTATTCAAATCCTCAAAATCAAACACTGTTGTCTAGCAATCTCAAGCGTGTTGAATGCAAAATAGAAATGGAATAATCATCTCTGTAGATTTGATAAATGTATATTCATAAACCTCTCTTTAAACAAAATATCAGCACTTATGCCTTAGGTTTAAGGAGCACAAGACTGAAGTTTTGCTCAAAGGAAGGGCTTTACAAATTTACACTTTCTTACAACACACCTCAGTCTCAGCCACCAGAGATCTTTTGAAATCATGACTTGCTTGCAAGGTGTGTGTTGTGGATGTGCTAACACCCTTGAAGATGGTGTTTATATATACTCCAAAATTCTAATTTTTGGCTTGATACACTCCTTGTCGAGACACTGCACCTATCTTGCTAGATGCAAATCGAGTTCAGGTTCTTGCCATTAAATTCATCAATCTTTTCTTCCTATTCCTTGCTCTGATGTTCCTCTTGATATCCTTTTGCCACATTTAGCTTTGACTGTTGCCCTATCAATTTGTTCAACCTCCCATTTTGTTCATTCCACTAAAAATAGAAACCTCACTTGTTGCTTTAAAAATGTGTATGGAAAAAGTTCACAATTTCCACTGACTCTTCATTTCCATTTGCATGAAGCCTGCATCTATACGCCATGGTAGTGTTATGGTCCATTTGATATTCACCTGCCTACTTACAATTCAAAAGCTCCTCACTTGCACCTGAATATTTTCTATAATGCAGTTCAGCTCTTTCTTTATCCACTTTTATTTCACATACATCCCATTTCATTTTCTGCCGCATCAACCTAATACTATATGTGGTTCTACATGAAATTTCAATGTTCCTTGCATTCTTTGTGCGCCTCATGAAGTATCCAACCTATCTTCAATTTTGACCAATATTTCCTCTTGATCATATGACTTTGTTTTTCACCTTCAAACAATTCATTGTCAAACTACCACTAGTTATTTCTTCACCTCCAGATACCCATCATTTTGCTTATTGTATGCCTCACTTTAAACCTAAGGTTGCGCACTGTATACTGATGTTATCATTTCACAGTTTATTTCAATCCATGTGTCTACCCTAAATTGTCTCTTTTGTCAACCTAGAGGTAAGTATACGTACCCTTAGGAAGACAAAAACCCCTTAATTAAACAACTTCGAGAATAAGGACTAGCCTCGAAGCCACCACAACTCACACTCAAGTTTCAAGAGTGAATTAATGAATAAAAACCCTGCCCATAAAGAACCTCATCAGAACAAAAAGATAATTAGAAGAACTGATTAACTAAGGCAACAAAGAATAAACCAAGACCCTAGTCAAGACTATATTGATATTGATAAATTAAAAACCCTGACTAGGAACTCTCCAACGTTATGAAACGAAATGACCAGTCAGGGTCTGAATCACTTGCTCAGGATCAAACCATGACCAGGCAAACTCTTTGCAAATAACACCAAAAAGAAAAATTACCAGGCCAGCAATAAAGTATAAATAACCATCTTTATCTCGACGTATAGTGTCTTTTTTCCCATCCTATATCACATCCAACAATCTTAACTTTTAGAAACCTAAAAACATCTTTAGAACAATTTAAACAAACCAGCCAAAAACATCTAGACTAGAACTCATAACTTACTTGTTACAATTCTATTCTTCATCATCATCTTTTGTGTTGTTTACACATTGTTATAAGCATTTTTTATTGTTCCATTTAAAACTGACTGTTTAACTGGAATCTATTTGCTCTTTCCAAATACCTAGTCGAAGATAATTCTAAGATCCCCTGTACGCTAAGAACTCTTAATGTCAGGAGTAGAATTTACTGACTCACCCTGAGGAAGGATTACTCTTTGTAACCTCCTGTAGCAGACCAGTCAAAAATATTGATTATTTTGACATGAGTACTCACTCTTGTTACTACCCTTGTCAGTGAAATCACTAACTAACACCTGACCTTTAACTCGTAGGCTCAAATTTACCTCAATAAAGATACACCCTTTATTGTAACAAAGCCGATAACAACCTTTTGATATCATCTCAGGTACGTTTACATTCAGTTTAGTCTACCTTTCATAGACTCAAGCTGACATTTGGGGGCCTCCTCTCACTCAGTTCCTTTTTTCTTTTTTAAAAAAATACAAACTGAACCTCACCTTTCTCATTTTAAGATTCATAAAAAGAATCATCAAACACTAAAAACAAATTTAAAAACAAATTAAACATTTTTACATAAACATTTCATCATTTCACTATCAATCTTAGATTCTTTTCGAGAACTTCCTTTTTTTGAATTTCCACATATCCATCCTTTTACAAACAAACTTATTCCTATCAAGCCAGCAACCATAGTAGAAGCACACCAATACATTTGGCATTTTCTCTCAACAATAGAAAAGCTACCAGTCAGCACCTCAGTGACTTCAATATCAACTAACTCAGAAATTGATTACCAGTAAGTTCCCAATTTTGAGAATAACATTTCAACAAAATATTATCACAATTCCAATTTAGCTAATAAATATTGCAACTACTCTTATCATCCAAGTGTCCCTGAACCCAGTGTTACAGTTACCAACCTACAAAGTGTTGGAGATATTTACATACAATAATTAGTGTTCTTTTCTTATTACTGAATTAACCATGTTATGTCTTATTACAAATATATATCTCCATTTCATACACACGAGATTTAACCTAACCTTTGTTTGTAACGCTTCTTATATTCCTGATCTACTCATTATTCAAAAGCTCTTTTTATTCATTAAGCTTTCTTCATACAAAACTAAACACCTCATCCCTATTCTATCTTATCAGTGATTGCCTTTAAATATCACTTAGACTGAGCCTTGTTTGTTTTGTTTGTTTTCTGATCAGGTATGATAGTGTCTTTGATTATTTATTATGTTTCTTGCTTTATTTGTTTCTATTTATGATAAAGCAATTCATTAAGCTTTCTTCATACACAACTAAACACCTCATCCCTATTCTATCTTATCAGTGATTGCCTTTAGATATATTATCACTTAGACTGAGCCTTGTTTGTTTTGTTTGTTTTCTGATCAGGGATTTGATCCATTAGGTTATGAGCCCAGTCGACCAGCTTGACTACAGATTCAAACAACGGTAAATTAAAGTTCTGAACACGGTTCTGCTAGCACAGAATCCGTTCCATTCAAACTTGAAATACCCTACTCTTTCAAAATACTCTTTTCGACCTTTGATAAATTCGAAACTTAATGAATTCAATCAATTCAAATCTATTCGCTGATCTTCGGAACCTTATCGATTGTACTACCCCACATTCCTGTCACCCCGCACTGGCTGACAGGAATAACTTAGAAGAAGGAATTGAGCTTTTGACATTGTCATACAACCAACCCTATCCAAACTCAAACTCAGTCAATCATGACAACAAACACTCAATCCTCTTCTAACAATCACTCATCATTTCTTATTGGACAAATTCCCAAACTAAATGACTCCAATAAGGTTGACTGGAACCTAGGCCTCAAGACTTATCTAAGAGGTCGAAGACTATTTAAATACATAAGTCAAGATGTTACGCTCTCCGAAAATGACATCAAGGATCCAGAGAAAGTAGAAATTCTCGAGGCTGAACAAGCCACTGTACTCAAAGTTATTTGAGCTTCGATTTCTCCCACTCGATTACCCATCATCAGAGGTATCAAGATTCCCAAGTCTACATTACAATTACACATCCTGAAATTTGATCATAGATACTCTGACAAGTGGCCATCTAGATCGTGCGCTTTAAGGTATAGAAGTACATGAGATGTTGAGTACAATATGCTTTTTGAGAGTTGCCAAATTGGTCATTTATAGTACAGGTACGTAAACTTTTTGTCACCGACTGTACAAGGTCTGGCAGAACCTGTTGGTGTACAAAACATGCCTACACAACCTCTATAACCAGAGTTATTCAGATTTTGACTTTTAGAACTGTGCAGAATTAAGTCCACAACAGGTCTTTACAATTGGAGAGGGGGAGATGGGCTTGTTGGTGGTGGGGTTATTTTCCAGAAAATAGGTACTTGGACCTGGTGTTTAGGCACTCGAAAAAAGTGCCTACATCCCAGATTAAGCACATAGGTTCCATTTTCCAGCACCTACATCATGTAGTTGTGATCAAATGACGCCTACATCTCAATTTTTGAAGTTTTCCAGATTCTACATCCTCAATGTAGGCGCTTTTGTGTGGGAAAAACCCATGTAGTTGCTGCCAAAACAGCACCTACATGGTTTTTCTGCGGGCTGCTAATAATCAGCTGTAGTATTCCTTCAAACATAAGCCAATTTAAGCTAGATACAAATATTCCAGCAATGCATAAAGATATCAATGTATCAGTTGCTGTTTTGGAATCTTTGACTAGCACAGCAACAACCTTTCTGTGCTCGCTTGGAACTGAGGTGTCTGTGTTGGATGGTGATTCATAACAATATCATTTACTTGTTTGTATCTGTGTTTCTTTTTTAATTCAATATCAAGAATTTGACAAATTTCATCAATGATTGATATTTTCAAAGCAGTTCCAGTGCCATTGGCAAGTCTACAAAATGTGTTAGTAGCTTGCTTATCAGATTCTTTGTGACATGGCTCATGTGGGACTACAGGCAAAATATCAGCAGCAATCAGTAAATGGTACGGTATTGGAAGAAAAATAATGAACTTACATGGGGTGCTCAAAAGAAAAAGTGAGGTGTGCTCAATTGAAATTGCATTTTGTTGGGATTTACTGGATTTTAGTCAATTTAACCAGACTTTAAAGGATTCTTGCTACCCTTTAGGGGTCTTAAAATTGACAAAAGGACTTAAAGGGGCTCAACAAGCTATTTTGCCATCTTCATGGGTCCCACTATCCTAAGGCCCTCATCATTTCCTGACAGGTCTACAATCTTGTATGCCTCAAATATAAAAAAGCCACCCTGGGAGTGGGCTATGATGTTGATCAAAATGGTTTTTTGGGGAGTATCACTTGAAGCTTGTGTGGTTTTCTGTCCTATATTGGGGAATATTATTTCCCCCATTTTGGCTCCATATCCCCACCCAAGTGGGGAGTAACATACCATAGAGCTGTAAGGGAGGTGTATGGGTTATGGAGTAGTGTTACAAGTGTGTATAGGATTGCAGAATATTGTACAGGGAGTTTCTATATAGAGGTTCCATCCTCTCTCCCTTTTGTTTTCTTCTCTTGAGGAACTCTTTTCCTCCTCTCTCTATTAGTAGCTTTTCTTTTATTGATAGTTCTTTTATATAGGCTTTTCAGGAATACAACTTTGGTGTTACTTTTGTCTCGCTTTGGCCTTGTGACCTCAATCCCAGTGAAGGTAGATTTGAGAGTGTGACCTTACGAGAGCATGTCTGGGTCCTAATTTGTCCTTGTCCCAGTTCTGCCCGTAAAGTTCTCTTCTTCCTCATCTGAAAATCTATACACAGAATCAGCTTGCCTTTCCAAATTCTCTCCCCTTTTCAAAGCCCCTCCTGTCCATGGTCTTAATAGAATTTTCTTGGAACAGAATTACCTCTAGTGCATCTATCTTCTCCATCAGACCCAAAAAGAAATGAATACCTATACAAAAGTAAACAAGGAATTCAATATAAAACACACACTCTCTCTCTTTTGGATCAAGTTTTGTCAGTTCAACTTGTTTCCAAAATGTTGCTTCATTTTATTGAAGCTTGTCATGCACTTACTCGAGCAGCTTGGGTATATTGAGGGTGATGATGGACTCATTGCGTGAACTTTGAGCACATGACACTGCGTGAAAAACCCTGTCGGAACCGGCCCCGCGACAGCCTGTCGCCCGGCATATGTATATATTTACATAGCCAGCGACAGATACACTTTTGGCCAGCGACACTTCAAGTTTTCCTGCGACAGCTGGTTTGGTTTTGCGACATCTCATCCCCACTCCCCCTCCGATCTGCCTGCGACATCTCCTTCGCCCTTCTTCCCTCTTCATCGCACCTCTTGATCTGGATCCGCCAAATCCTTCTCGAACCACTCCAGCAGTCCAGACTCCAAATCTCGAACGACTTTAGCAGTACAGCAGCAGTTGAAATCATCAGTGACGTAAAGGATCAAACGTCTCAGGCCAGGTTAGTCCGGTTTTCCTTTCACATCCCTCACTGTTTTCATTTATTTTCTCACAGCACAATGGCAAATTTTCCTGAAGGGGAAGCTCGTCACATGAGCGGTCAATCTCAAAGGGTCTTGTCATACCCGAGCCGTCTGAAGATCTCACCAGCCTACTTGCTTGCGTATATAAACCCCTACGATCTGGTGTCTTCTCACCGCTCATCATACATTTGTTTTCCCCCGTCTTTTCTAGAACTCTTTCCACTCTTGTATACCCATTTCATAAACCTATACATATACCGTTTTCATCGACATTGACGACCCTAACCCCTTCCCTCTTCTCTTTGTTTTTTAATTCCAATCAATCATGGCCGATGATGATATCCCGATGTCCGAAGGTACCTCTACGACCACTCCAGTCACGTCTACGATCCCTCCAGCCACCGCTACAAACCCCCTTGCCGATTCTGTCAGTGCTCTCATTGCCGACGCTCTCAAACAACAAGCTGCTCAATTCGAGGCCATCGTTGGCGGACTTCAAACTCAAATTGTCAATTTAAGTGTTGGAACCTCAGCCAAGAAGGACAAGAACCGGCAGTCAAGCTCCTCAACCAACCCCTACACCACACCATCTACGTCTAGAACTGCTCCCCGCCAATCAACTAGTGCCACCAAGACTTCGAAGTCCACTCCGAAGTCTACTTCAAAATCTACTCCCAAGTCAAATCAAAAGACGAAGAAATCACCCGAAGCCCCGCGAAAACGTCACGTTCTTCAAGTGTTTTCAAGCGAGCTGGCGTCTGATTTCAAGAGTACCAAGGTAAGAAATTTTGTTGCACTCATTCAATTAACCTCTCACTGACTTGATCTTATCATTCTAGGAAGCGCTCTATATTCACATCAAAATGATGTGGGGATTATTTAAGAAGAACGATGTTCCACCTCCTCCCAACCCCGCTCTGTTGAAGGAGTTCTATTTACGATTTTCCATGCTGCTGAGCGTTGAATATCATTCACCTTCGGACCTACTGACTGATTGAGTTCGTCTGACCATTTCGCCATGTCATCCTCGATTGAATTTTGGCTGAGAAACCACTGAAGCCAAGATGACAGACTCTGGGTGACGTATACATTTCGAGGAATCCCTATCTCGCAAGGTGGCAGGGTGAGCACGTGACTGGGCTTCATGTTTGAACTTTTTCCTGTATCACGTATTGATTGATACATTGTCTTGATGGTGAACAGTTCTTCACCGCAATCCAGAGCCTTTGGTGATTTCCGGTAGGTGCATGTTTGAGGTGCTTCGGCCGGGGTATACAAAGAGAAACATGCAGGACAACAGATTTGTTCATTTAATTCAGGTATGATGGCTAGTCGTTTGAGTATCGTACGGATATCCTTGGGGACACGAGTGTAATCATTTCGCTCCTTCGTTTTGCTTTCGGACTGTACAATGTCTGTTATACGCAAGACAAACCTTCGGGCTTTTTGACAGTTGATGTGACTAAGTCCGCAGAAAAGATGAAGCCAAGCGAGAAATATCGAAATGAGGGTTATGACTGATGGCAATTGAGGGATTAGCTTGAGTAACCTGGTTTCTGATCAAGTGAGTTAGCTTACCAGTAGGCGTTGAGTCATTATGATGATAATCTGAGTCGGCTTGTGATGTTACTGAATCTGAGTCGCTATCGTTATTGTCTCTTGCAGAAGTCAAGTGTGAAGCTTGGGGTAGATGAGGTAATTGAGGTAGTCTGATATCGCGTTGATGATGACTCAGTTGAGTTCTACGTGACTGAAATTGGCCTTGTATGGTTTTTCCATCTGGACCCGTGCATGTTTTGATCACACATTGCAAGCAGGTGCAAATGATTTCTGGGAGAAATCAAAGAGGTCAATGAGTGATATTGATCCTAAAATCAGCGTAGATGACAAAGGTACTTACTCGGCGGATCTCCCATTGAAAGATGGAGATGGATCGGCTACGAGGTGGAATCCAAAGTCGGACGTGGTGAAATGAGATCGCAAATTGAGGTGAGTTGTGATATCTAATAAGCTGGACAATCAAAGTCAAGATCGGTTAAAGGGCAAAGGTGTCGCAGCACCGACCTATGAGCTGAACAGGGATGAGATGTCGCAAAACCGAACCAACTGTCGCACAAAAACTTGAAGTGTCGCTGGCCAAAAGTGTATCTGTCGCTGGCTATGTAAATATATACATATGCCGGGCGACATTGAGGGTGATGATGGACTCATTGCGTGAACTTTGAGCACATGACAGGATGGCCGAGTGGTTAAGGCGGCAGTTTTGAATACTTCACATTGCATGAACACATCAGCTGCTTCACTATGTGAGCGTGAGTTCAAACCTCACTCCTGTCGAAACAGTTCTTGTTTTTATGAACAATTTTTCCCAGTTTTTGGCTTCAATCCCACTTTATGTCACTTTCCATGACTTTTCTTGCAATCTCATCCATTCAATTCCACTTCAAACTCAACTCTATATTGCATACTGTAACTGTCAGAAAGGGCACAAGACGCCTCAATGGCATATCACCTTTCTTACAAAGAACTCATTACATATTAATGGTGTTGGTAGCAACTGTTCATACATCATCATTAAGCTTCTTGAGGAAGTCTTCATACATTTTGAATTGTGTGTATTGTTGTTTTACTAAGTTGATTTGGCATTCTTTGCAGACACTAGACACCTTCAATGAATATGTTTGAAATGGTGTTGTGGTAATATGAACTGTGATCATAGAGGTCTAGATTGCTTATGAGACAAAAGGCATATATTGAAACCTATGTAGCAGTTGTGAATTGGGAAAAGCAATCAGATATAGTATGGTCTGATGTTGTTTCTTGGTATCACACTTTACAGCATTCAGATTGCCTGCCATGACTCACATCAGCACATGGTTTTTGTGAATCAAGAATCCATGTCAATGTGTGCTGGTATGAGTTATGTCAGATGTTTTTTTGGCCTGGGGATGAATTTTGTTTACACATGACTGACATGAGAAAATTACACGTCTAACCAATGCGCTGTTTATATGTTGGCAACGCCGAGCAATTGTGCTGCAAAAAACGTGCAACGCAATGGAACACACTACAGCGGATATACACCGCGGCGCAACGCACCACAGCGGACCTGTGGCTGCCAAGTGCGCTGCATATTACAACATGGAATTCACGGGGTTGTGGTGCGTCTGCAGACGTGCAATGCACAGTGCACATGTTCCGGTTTTCAGCAAGGGGACAGACATTGATATGATGGCAATCTCGAATATCAATTTCCACCTTGTTTAACTACATCACATCAGCTGGCTTATATCATCAATTACATCAAATCCCAACCAATGGGCATTTCACATTCAATCGAATGGATTCCAAAGGCGACTTGATTGAAGATGTTTTCAAGTTCCAGTCCCCCTCCATCCCTTACCGTTCAAGTCTTGAAATCCGTCTTTCACTCCTTCTCTTTCATCATGCCTAGTAGCCCAGGAGCAAAGGCTGTGGTTGATCAAAATGTGTCTTCCACTCCTCTTTGTCATTCAAGTCGTCCACCAACTCCTCATAAAAACATGTCTTCAATGGTTCAACCATCAAGAACTCGTATAGCCCTTCCACAAGCTTTGAAATCCAAGTCTAAGTCTACATTGCAAAAGAAGAAGTCAAATAAAACACCCAACAGTTTGAAACTGACACTGACAGTTACCGAAGCGATGACATCCAAGAAACGTACTCAAGGCAGCAAAACAAAGCCATTGCAGGTAAGTCTTTTGATACATTGTAATGTGATTTGAATTCAACTGAACTGATCCTGATCCTTTCAATATGACCAGGCAACCACCAAAGGTGTTCCATCAGACACCAAGATGAATCAAGACTTGGACGATGGTCTCACTGTGCGCCAAAAAGCCAAGTGTACCAAGGTTATGGAATCCGAGGAAGAAATTCAGTACAATGTGGTTGTGGATTACTTTGGGGCACCTGAATACCAGAAGACTGATGTGAGTTTCAAATTATATCATCTGTCACCTCACAGTTATTCATTATTAACATTTGATTTGATCTCCTCACCTCCTGGATACTATAGGACCAAACTATTCAACCTTCTTTGTACCCATGCCTTTGGTGCGGCCGTTACTGCTGTGTGTCCACCACCACCTTCTTCCGACCCGTTTGAACGTCCTATTGGCCAAAAAAACGCCAAACGACAACGCCAAGAGGCTGACTTAGACACAGAGAGGACTGAAGAAGTCAAGCGAGCTTCAGACATCCAGGAACAAAAGCTTGCGGTGCTAGAACAAGGACACAAGCTCGCTGATCGAGCTCTTCAAATCAATGCTGAGGCTAAGAGAAGTCACACTTATTATGAGGATATGAAAGTGTTAACAACTTCTCCCGACTTATGTCCAGATGAAGAGTCCAAAGCTGTTTTAAAGTTGATGAAAGCTAGATTGTTGAAGAAGTACTCAAATGATGAAGAGGGTCAAGCTGATGATTAGATTAGTATTTTAAACTTGTAAATTGTTGTTTAACCTCAATAGTTTTTATTAGTTGAATCCGATTTAGTGGATCTCATCTCATCTCATGTTTTACACGTCTAAGTTTTTTGTTCACTCAATTTTTTTTTGTTCTATGGATTTGGCTTCTCAATAGTATAGCTGAAATACAAGTCATTTTCACGTATGCTTTTAACAACTTTGCATCTGAGAGAATATGAAAATAAGAAAGATACAACAATCCATCTTGATGAGATATGTGTAGCATGAAATTGAGACAAAAATGATGATAACAAGTTAATAAAACTTGTAGGAAGTGATGAGTTCCTAATCATTACAACCAGAGCCCCGTTTCATCCACATCGCCGTCTTGAGATCAGCCATCAAGCGTAAGTATTGATCACGATCTCGTAGTTGTGACATAGTAACATAATACTCAGCAAGGGTATAAGATAATTGTGGATCGAGATGATTTGGATGATTCTAAGGCCGTGTTTTGTCCAATAGTCAATGGTGACTTGATCGAGCTCACCACGATCCTCTACAACCATGTTGTGGAGGATGATGCAACATAACATCACCTCAGTCATTTCCTTGAGACTCCAAAGCCGACATGGTTGAGTTAAGATATGCCAGCGCGCTTGAAGCACACCAAAAGCGCGCTCAATATCTTTCCTCAGCGCTTCCTGCAGCTTGCAGAAATGTCGACTCGCTTCATCCAAAGGGTTTTGAATGGATTTGATGAGGACGGGCCAGGGAGGATAGATCCCATCTGCCAGATAGTATCCACGAGTGTAATGATTCCCATTCACCTTGAAGTGGACTCGATCTTCAGAACCTGGAGTGTAGAATAGGTCAGATCTATCCTACATAATGTAATGCGAAAAACCTACCGTTGATGAATGAATCAAACAAAGGACTCTTCTGTAAGACATTAATATCATTCAGAGCTCCTGGTGTCCCAAAGAAGGCATGCCAGATACGTAGATTTTTTGAAGCAACAGCCTCCAGTATAACTGAGGTTCCTTTTTCTTTCCCCTCGTACTGACCAGCCCACGCTTGAGGGCAGTTCTTCCAAAGCCAGTGCATGCCATCTATACTCCCTTTACATCCTGGGAAGCCTCTCATTTCATTTTCTTTCAGTATTACTTCCAGCTCTTCGGAGTTTGGAGGTTGTAGATATTCTTTTCCATAAATCTCAATGATATTGTGTACAAAATGTTTTAAACATTCTACTGCAGTACTTTCACCAATTTTCAAGTAATCATCTGAACCATCAGCAGCAGTTCCATACACCAACTGTCTCAGTGCAGCGGTGATCTTCTGGGTTGTTGAATGTCCTAGTTGCAGACAGCAATCCTATATGAAATGTAGATATTAATTAGATTGAAGAAACTTTTGGAAGATTTGAGATTTGGATAAACTTACACGACGTTGTATCCAGTATCTGCTGTGTCCTTGCAGGTCAGTAGCCAGTCTCTGAAAGAGTCCTGGACTCATCCAGAACCGTCTTTCAAATAAATGGCGTGGATACAACGGCGATTCGACAAAGTAATCGTTTTGAAGGAGTTTATCGGCAGCAATTTGATCACGTTGAATCCGTGCATGTGTGTTCTGATGGCTGGGTGTAGATGGATTGTTGATGAGATCCATGATCAACTGATCATAATCTTCATCTTTGAGTTCTTCATTGATTGATTTCAAGTGTTGTTCTAAAACAGACAATGCGTCCATTTGAGAAGATGATTTGAGTTTGGGCTTTGAAAAGAATTGTGTAGCCTCAAACTAAATCCAACGGTTGTGGGCACAGTCTGTATATTTGGATTAACTAGTATTAACCCCAGCTTTACAGACAACGACTGTGGGAACTGGCTTTAGTTTAGTTGACCCTGACTAAAGATCTCTAAGTTTACCCACGCTAAAGCCAAAATTGACGCCAACGGTTGGAGATGCTCTTACCAAGATAATCAAATCTTCTCAGCCATTAGTGGTGCTTGAAGTAGACCTGGTTTCAAAAAACTTGGTTAACCTCTAACCTAAAAAAATTCCCACTTGGAGAGTGAGCATGCAAGAGAGTGAATTATTGGTTATCCACAAAATTTGGCATGTGGGCATGCAACTTTTGGCTGAGGAGTTTTTTGACCTGCCATAACTTCTCACCACATAAATAAACAGTCTTTGGACCAAAGCGAGTTCATGTGCACCTGCTGAACCTGAATACATTCATGTATCTAGCAGCATATTTGATTCAATGATTGCAGAGCAATGACAGGCTGAAGTTCAAAAAAACCAAATCTCCAAGAATGCTGTCCAACCTGTCAAAAGCTCATACTGGGCCAGCTGAGAGGTTACATGTAAACACATTGTTCAAGTCTTTCTACAGTTCTTTCCTGAAACCAAGAGAGATTCCAAAGAACCAGTATGTGTAGGTTGAGTGGGTGCACATGAACTTTCTTTGGTCCAAAGACTGTTTATGTATGTGAAAAGAAGTTATGCCAGGTTAAAAAAACTTTCCAGCCAAACATTTCTTGCTCACATGCCAAATTTTGTGGCTAACTCATAAGTCCCTCTCTTGCAGGCTCATGCCAAGGGAGACTTTCTTGGGTTAGGATCTACTCAGTTGACTTTTTGGCTGTGAGCTGTCAAAACATGTCAACTTGATACACAAATTTACTGCCAAAAATCAACTGGGTCAGCTGAGTTTTTCTTAAAAGCCAGGTCTACTTTGAGCACCACTATTGGCTCACTATCAAGCATAAAGTCTACATACTGTGATCAAATCCTCTTGAAAATTTTCTTCAAAACACATACAACTCAATACCAAATCTCCTCACTAAATCATCTCTTTTAGAAAACAAAAAACTCTTGTTTTCTGAATCCAACAGCTCAGCAAAGAAAACTCAAAAAGATGTATGATGAGTTTATATAAAGGCTGAAGGTTTAGGTAATTAAGTTGGATTGTAATCTTAAAATGTTTCAATCAAGAAAAAAAAAAGTTAACCTATATGACTCTGAGCCACAATGCACTTCATAATCATTGTTTCTTTGGGAAACTTATTTTATGCTGGTAGTGTATGTATTGTCACAAGTCATCAAGAAAAAACAATGATGATAATGAACATTCACTTCAAATCAATCAAGAACCTGAAAATGAGATTATCTTGTTATCATGACTCATAAAATCCAAAACCCTTCCAAACCCCACCACCACCAAAACCAAGAAAACCTGAACCCAACTTGATTTTTTCCCCTTCAGATTTATCAAGAGATCAATGTAATTTATATTTTTCATCAAATTCAAAATCAAATTGTAAATAAATAAAAATCAACCAAAATCTAAACTCCAAACCCAAACCAAAAATAATGATTCCCAAACACAAAAAAAAAAGAAATCCTAAACCGAATAATCTTTTACTTTCACCAATGTAAACTCAAACCACCCAGTACCTACACCTCACTCTTTTCCAAACCTTTACCACTATCACCACCCATGACTCATCCACCCAAATCCCTCAACTCCTCTCTGCTTTGTTTTCCTTTTTACATTCTTCTAACTTCAACCACTTCATCCCACTTCCAATCCCTACAATCCAACTCACCTTCTTCATTCCCATTCCCATCCCCGCTCTGATTCCCACTCCAAAGACATTTCATCAAACTATCTCTATAACTTTCTTTAATCAACTCACGTTCACGTAATCCAGAATACCCTCCTTCTCCTTCTCCATCTTCTCCATCTTCTTCTTCTTCCGCAAAGTCTTGGTTTAAACTTTGATCAAAAGATGAAGTAAGTAAAGGTAAACACCTTCGATCGATCTTCATTCTCAAAAAAACCAGATCAGTTTCCAAAACCTTTCCAAAATAAACCATGATCTCAGGTGTCAAACTTTCCATCGAAAGTTCAATCACCTAAACCCCCAAAAAACACCCAACCAGATCAGTATAACGATCACATCGTTTTCAAGAAGTTTAGATGATTTTCATTACATACCTTTAGTGCAATCCGATCACCTTTTTTTGTACTTTGACAATCTACTTTCTCATACCTATCCCACTCTTTGATCACTTTTTCTTTATAGTCCAATCCGACTTCGACGTCTTTACCCAAACCTTTCTCTTCCTTCGGTTTAATCAAATGACCTCCAGATTTAATAAACTCATCATACTCCAGTTCAATCTCATCATCCCTTCCCTCTTCTTCTTCCAAACTCTGATCTCTCATCTTCGCAGCTCTAGCTCTTTTATTCCTCTTGACCTGTTTTTTCCTATTCTGGGCTCTTTTTCTCTTACTACTAGTACTACCATTTAAACAATCTTGATAGGACCCCATTGAACCAGTTGAGATTTGTCCAGGAACCCAATTCGGATCTTCTACATCTACCCAACTAATCTGAACATTCCTAGGTATCGTGCATGGGTCCCTTAAAGAAGGAGGAGGTCCATACCCTACGCCAATCTGATGGTTATCTACCTGTTCTTTTACTTCATCGAGAATTTCTTCACGATCAAACTTGGGTGAAGCAGGTGTATAAGTTGGACTACTCTTTTGTAGACTTCTTGCTTCGGGTTCTGCTTCAGGTTCGTTCTGATAAAAGACTATTTTACTGGCTTGGTGAAGTTCAGTAGTGGATGAGTGACGTAGGTTCTTGCGTTTGTTTTTGTTGGATAATGAAAACATTTTGAAAGAGTCAGGTTGGATGATTGGGACTCGTTTGGGTTGGAGTGGGAGGATTGGGTTGGAGGGTCTGGTGTAGGTCGAAGTTGAGGTTGAGGCGGTTGGCTGAGGGTTAGGGTCAGGAGGTTTGATGGGCGCTGAGGATGGGGCTGAGGAATTCGAGTCTGATTCGGGATCTGAACTTGAACTTGAACTTGATTTAGATCCTGAACTTGATTTGGATGCTGATCCTGAGTCGGAATCGGAATTGGAATCGGATTCAGTTTCACTAGATTCAGTAGTAGATCCTGAGCTATTCGATGATTTTTCATCCGAAGAAACCGTCCTAGTAGGTCCGATCAAAGTACACCCAGACCTTCCCAAACCTTTCTCAACCTGACCAAGCTTTCCATGACGCTCATTGCTACTCAAGCCAGTCCGGGATCCTTGATCTTCTGATTCTAAAGATTTAATGGGTTCTTGTTGTCTTAAAAACGATCTCCGTTTCCGTTTTCGTGAGTTTCGGGCCTTCGTTCGGGAACTTCCTGTGCCTGGAATCGGAGTGGTTCGGGTTGGATCATGATTAGGGATCAGAGATTTGCAGGGTTCTTGGGAAGCTTTCTGGCTCGTGGAAGAGGAGGAGATTGGTAATGGTTTGATGGGTCTTGGGATTGGGGTTGGGTTTGAATGTGTTTTGTTGGGTTCGGTTGGGATTAGGTCATGTTTTGAGGATAGTTTGGTGGACGTTGAGGTTCGTTCGGGTATAAGTTTAACACTATTTAATGTTGAAAAATATGAGTTGGATTTTTTTTAGTGTTTGAGTGTGATTAGTACAAACTCACTCAATCACATCATTCTGTTATTCAAAAATTCACCAAAAAAAAGTTTTAAATGATTTTTTTTCAAAGGGATTTGGTAGGAGTTTTTTGAATTGGATCAGGTTTTTAGACTTACTACATCGATTACCGTACAAGGAGACTGATCCAAAAAAGCAAAACCTAAGAAAATTGTACAAATCATCGTTATTAATTAATCAGTTTCCAGAAAGAATGATGATAGAGAGAGAATGTACCTTGAGATTCGAGTTGGATTTGAGAAGATGGATGAGAATCGATCGAAGTGGATTGAAGGATCGAGTGTTTGAATTGAAGGATCGAATGGAATGGATCAAAGGTTAACCATAGTTGATGAGAAGTGAGTGGTGCATGAGTCTTGACTCTTACTCTCTTTAAATTCTCATTCATCATCACAAAATGGTAATGGCAATGGCAATGAAGGAAGAAAACAAATTAACAAAAGTTGGCAATGGAGTAAAGACCCGAGTCTGAATACTCGACACCAACCCACCGGATCGGATCAAAGTCTCAAACCCTCATCCAGATTCCAATCCAACCCATTCCCATCCATTCCCATCCATTCCATCAAGAACAATGACTTCAATCGATCCCAACCAAAACCAAAACAATCTAACATTAGCAAGAGAACATTCACACAATGCCAGAACAACAAACTCAAAAAGCTTAGCTCATTGTTCTCAATTACCTTCGAATTCATTAACTTTAACTCAAACTACTCAACTTGATGGACTTATGACTATCTTACGTGATTCGACGGTATGGGTTGTTCTGTAATCATCAAAATCAAAACCAAATAACATCAGATGAAAAAATCAAATTGGTTTCTGACTTCTGGTTTCTGGTTTTTGGTTTACATGGGCTTTCTATACTATTACAGACACTCAGATCCGAGTTTATTTTCACGGCTGATCGGATCATTAGACTTTTAGTAGAAGAAGGTAACCTATATTCCAAAACCTATCTCAAAGGTTTTTTTTACCAACTTTTTGCATAATCTCAACTTACTTGAACATTGTTTGTTTTTCTTTTCATTATAGGTCTAAACCATTTACCTGTTGAACCTCATGGTTCGTTTGATCTTTTTCTTCGTATATCTTACAAAAACTAACCAAGTTTTTTTGGGTTTCTTTGGTATTTTTGATTTCTTTGGTTTCTTTTGTATTTTTGGTTTTTTGGTTTTTTTTCTTTTGGTTTCTTTGTTTTTTTTGGTTTTTTCTTTTGGTTTTTCTTTGGTTTTTCTTTGGTTATTTTTGGTTTTTTGGGGGTGGTTTAGTGGTAAGTACTCCAACAGGTTCGAAATACGAAGGGGTCAAGTTCCAAGGCAAGATCTGTGGAGTTTCAATCATGAGAGCAGGTGAAAGTATGGAAGCAGGTTTACGTGAATGTTGTAGAGCTGTTAGGATCGGAAAGATTTTGATCCAAAGAGTTTGTCATTTCTCAAAACCTCCAAAAAAAACAAGAAAAGCAAGTCTTGGTGTTTTTTTATCTTGGAATTGATTTTCTTTTTTCTTTTGTAGGATGAAGAAACTTGTTTACCTAAATTGTTTTATGCTAAACTACCTGATGATATCAAAGACCGTTACGTCTTTCTCCTAGACCCAATGCTAGGTCCGTCCATCTCTCCTTCCCATCGCAACAGAAACCTCCATTCACCAAGTTTCCTTTGACGGTCGAGCCTTGAATAGCTACAGGTGGATCAGCAATCAAAGCCATGGAAGTCTTAATGGAAAACGGAGTACCGGAAGAAAGGATCATCTTTTTGAATCTGGTGGCTTCGCCTCAAGGCTTAGGTAACGTGTTTTCAAAACATCCTTCTGTTAAGGTTATTAGTGCTTGGGTTGATGAAGGATTGAATGAGAAAAAGTAAGCTTGATTTCGGTTTCTTGGGTTTTGAATTTTGGATTTTGGATTGGATTGGATTGGTGGATTGAAATCGAATGTCTTGGGTTTTTTTGTAGATATATTGTTCCGGGTTTAGGTGGTAAGCTTTTTTTTGGTTTCTTTGGATGTTTTTTTCGTTTGATTCATGTATTGAAATCTTTGAAAAAAATGTTGATGATTTTTTTTTCATAGATTTCGGTGATCGATATTTTACTAGCTCATGATTGATTTATTATTGGGTTCGGAGAGTAATCGAAACCAAAGATCTTGAGTATGAAACCATTCTCAAGAATATAATAATTTTGGTCTTTTCTTAAAGAAGTTGTAAATCGTATTAATGAAAGATTATGCTTAATTGATCAAATGATTTATTGTAAACATAAGATGATTTTTTTTCACAAATACCAGGCATTTGAAATTGACTTTTGGGTTTTTTTGGGTTTTGAAAGAGAGGTTTTTTTGGAATTTGATTGATGAAAGATGAAAGTGTAAGTTTGAATTGGATCATAGTGTGAGAATCATTAGTTGAGTGTAAAAAGATGGGATTGGTTTGATCTGATTCTCAAATCTGACTAGTTTCTTTTAGAAAAGGTATACCATCTTTTTTAAGGTATTGCAAAGTGAGATGGATTGTTTCCTGAAAGAAGGACTGATCTTTTTCAAAGTTGATAAAAATCAGTAAAACTTTGGAAGTTTTGTTTTTATTCTTATAATTGTAATCTTTCATTTTTCATAACCTTTGAATGGAATTTTTAAAAAGACTCCGCTAGATCAAGGAGGATTTGTCTTTATATATTTAATAGTGAGCTGGTCATAGTCTTGGTTCATATCACCATCATGTCCGTGTGATGTTCGCTCGTCAACGAGGGCACGCGAGTCGCCTTTGTGCCTCAAAGGCAGTCCGCGTGCACTCGTCGTCGGGCGACTGCCACAAGGACACGGTGCACCGTACTTGACTTTTCTTATCCTGGGGATGGGGATCAGAGTCATAAAGTGGTGTGGTGGTAGAAATCGGATGAGTAAATGAAAAGCTCATCAAAATCAAGGGGTTGAGATCAATTGCAGATTGTAGTTGGTAAGCGCACATGATATCCTCACGTTATCATAAGCTGGAGAATGTCAAGAAGTAAGACTCTTAGATCTTATGACATGACTTGTTTTCTGTTTCCTCAGCTATGGAAGTCTTGGGTCTGACTTATGGTAACCACTTATAGCTTGGTGAAAAGATTTATATGAGGTGGCACTGATGATATATGGAAATCATCTTGGAAAAACAAATAGAAAAGATTAAGAAGTTTCTGTAGCTTTCTGATTATCATGACCAAACAAAAAGATGAATCTTCTGCATGAACAGGAATTTCATTCTATCAGATCACAGTGACCATGAATTTAGATAAACTTATCACTTTAAGAATAGATCACACATTTAACAATGAAGCAAAGAATCCAACAAGTATAATTGATTGCAGACCAGAACCGATTTCTGATTCTTATTCTTATGCTGAATCTAAAGGGTTAGAAAGTTTTGATGGGTAAGGACAATCCAATGGATCTTGATCATGATGGTGTTGACACATCCTACACCCTATTTCTCGTTCTGGTACTATACCATGAGTCACTAGACTGTCTTGGGCTGGGATGATGCCTTTTTGACTTTGGATGGTTTGGATCATTTTACTGTATGTTTGGTTGATGGAGAGAGAGAGGATGAAGATGAAACTGATCAGGTTGAGGTTCATGGTGATGAAATGTCTGGTTTGGGGGTCAAGTGTTAGTTCATGGATCGTGGTGATGAATTATGTGATGGTTTGAATGTTTAGAGACTCACCAGGAAGATTAAGTAACGATATTATATGTGGATTGGACTTGAATTTAAACTGATAGGATCTGAATATATCAGAAAGGATGAAGAGTGTGGAGATATAATCTTGGCTCAGTTTGTTTACAACCAAGATATAGGTACATGATCAGACGCCGAAAATCATAGGAAAACCTACCAAGGCAATCGAAAAATGTCGGACGAAGTGATGATTAGATAAATGAACCAATGATGAGAGAAACAGGTGGCCTTTTTTATATTCGTGGTAGAAAATTTCACTCGCCAATTCTTGCTTCATCAAGTTCTGGAACATTATGCTGCGTTTGGTTGTATTCGTTCCTACAGTGTTGTAGACATATCAGATCTGAAGATTGATGAGTCTCATATGCTAGAGACGTCGTTTGTGGACTCGTATGAGATCCTTTGATCAGAGAAGCTGAGTTACTGCTGTCCAACTCTTACCTCATCAAGTGATGTAACACAGTTCTGGGTTTGATTGCATGACCTTTTTCAGAGTTGTATCATGATCAGCTTCTGACATGTGGAGATTGCTGAGTCTCTTATGCTGGAGAAGTTGATGATGGTTTCCTATGATACACGTCCTTTGATTCATGTAGTGTTTGGTATTCGCTTTGCTGGACGCAGCGGTTATAAGAAGTGTGATGGCCAGTTGGATATGACGGTGTGAAGCCATTGCCGTCCAATCACAAGATTTATATTTCATAAACTTTGTATTTTAACACTCTTTGAGCCACCTCATGAGCAAAAAGCTTCATCATCAAGGATGTTTTAAGAGTTTTCTCACATGTGATATTTTGTTCAGAATTCTCAACATCATGAACCCTCCTAATAGTACACATTATGAAATTTCAAGCATTAATTCAAGTGTCTCTTCTTTGTAAAACTAAATCTTTATTCATGACAGTTTTTTGTTGAAAATTTCCTTGTGGAGGTCTTTTACTTTTTTATGATTTCATGCTGTTTTCTTGTGTTCTGTTGATTCTTTTTCAATGAATTGTTGTTGTAAGAGGTCAAGCTTAACTTTAAGGGAGCATAAAGTGTTCTTAGTGAGACAGTGAGAACACAAGTAAGAGATGAAGTGAAGTACCTGGTGGTACAAGGAAGAAAGGAATAAGAATGAATTGCTGTAATCCAAGCTGCACAATCATGAAGAAACCTTAAGAGAGGACAAAGTGTTCTTAGTGACACAGTCAGAACACCGGCACAGCCGTTGTAAGATCCATTGGCAGATTTTGAGAGCTTTGTATTTTTGCTAGATTTGATGTAGAGGTCAAAAACTCGGAAAAGCCCTTTGGAGATGACTCTACTGCCCATTGGTCCAATCTACACCAGGATAATAGGGTTCAGTCTGAAAGTGATATAGTTTTGAGTTTTTGACTTCAAATGTTAAATCTGGCAATGACAAAACTTCACAAAAATCTGCCAGTAGATCTTCTGACAGCTGTAGGAGAGGTGAAGTGAAGTACCTGGTGGTACAAGGAACAAAAGAATATTGATGAATGAGGAAAAAGGAAAACAATAATGGAGCACATGCAGTCTTATATAGAACAGGACTCGTATAACCTTGTTACAATAAAATAGGTTTGAAGAAGGAAGCAAAATGAGAGCTATGTCATAGTAGTGATGTCTTATCCAGACAGAAAATGACAGGAATATCTTATAAATATAAGTTGTTTCCCTCAGATTTCCTTTTGGGAGAAACTGAAGTGATGAATTTGGAGTGTTCAAGCCAAAGGTCAGTGCTTGTCACTTCACCTGGTCTGAGGACTATCCTATCTTTGATGGTGAAAAAAGGGAAGGAGTTAGGCACAGAGGTTTTGTTTTGCAAAAACTCAAAACCTGATTTTGTAAAGTGCTAACCTCTGGACAGCCCCGGGGGGTCTGAGCGTGTTGCAGTAAGAGAAAAGCACAACCTGAGGCCCAGAGGGCGGCCTAGTAATACTACAATACGTAAGAAGAACCAAACTAGATGGGAGGGACGGTGGGAAACAAAAATTTATGACTAAAAGAATAGTGCACAAGGTAAAATTTGTTGATAAAGGTGTGGATGAGTACAAAAATAAGGTAAAGAGAACCACTGCAGAAGAACAAGGTTTTTAAGAATTGTGAGAGATCAAATAGGATCTTTACAAAAGTTTGAAAACCGCCATAAGCTCTTTCACAGCCCCCAACTACTGGTCACTGGCAGGCCAGTACATCCAATGTCTCCAAAATGTTTTCAACAAAACTTCAATTTGTTTTTAGCATAACATCCATCTGCTATCAAGATGTTTTGGGTCAGTTACCAGCAAAATATGTCATACCACCAAAATTGAGATGATGTCATACAGCATCATAAACCTGTACTAACCTGTGCCTGTATTTCCCCACCAAGAATATATAGTTTATTAACCTTTGTGACATAAATTGACTGAGCTATTGAGGTTTGAAAAAAAATCACGGACAAAAATACTATTTTTGTACTACACATAAGAATTGATCCTGGAATATCTTCCAGCTTCATGAATATACATACACAAAAAAAATGATATTCCTTTTGAAAATATGTTTCTCCACATTTTGGTCGCTTAAAGCCTTCCTGTATGGGCAGTATTTCTATATGTAATTGTGGTGTGTACATGAGCAGTCAACAATTTGATTGATTCTTTGTTTCTAGGCAGAATATGCCAAAGTTTATGGCAGGAATTTTTGTCAAATATCTACATGTATATCAATCAGATTCAGAATTTGGCAATATGTTCCCTCAATATTTGTATTGGGGCAAAGCTACTTCAGCTAATCAAACTCTCAGACACATTCAGGAATTACATATAGAAATACTGCCCATACAGGAAGGCTCTAGGGGACAAAAATGTGGAGAGACATGTGTTCAAAAGGATTATCAATTTTTTTGTATATATATTCATAAAACTGTGAGATATTCCAGAATCAATATTTAGATACAGTACACAAGTAATATTTTTTGTCCGGGATTTTTTTTTCAAACCTCAATAACTCAGTCAATTTATGTCACAAAGGTTAATAAACTATATATTCTTGGTGGGGAAATACAGGAGCAGGTTTGTACAGGTTTGTGATGCTGTATGGCATCATCTCAATTTTGGTGGTCTCCCAACCACTTCTCAACAAATTCTCAATCAATGGATGTTATTCATTTGATATCCATTTCATAACTTCCTCATAACTTGCTCATAACTTGCTAGGGTCGGTGGGAGGCACTGGCCTGCCAGTGACTTGTGATTGGGGGCTGTGTTTACCATTACAAGTGAACCTTCAAAGAAGGTTAGAGAACAAAATCTGATTCATTTGATTTTTGGATTTCACAACTCCCTGAGCCAACACTCATTCCCTTTGGTTAAAACACGTCCCAACCACAAGTAAAGAACTGGGTGTGGAGCAAGACCACAGGGTAATCCATACCGTCATTTGGCGGGCATGAATTACCATCATATGGCAAGATTGGCCCGGTGGTAGACGGCCGGCGCCAGACGGACGTCGCCAGACGGACGTCAGTGGTGTGGCAGTCCATGTCTTTGGCCTCCAAGCCAAGGAGGACTGACGCGTGAGTGAAACTGGAGCTAAGCTCCAGATCCTCACGCACTCTAGGTTTATTGTGCCGCGCTTGTTCTTAGATCTCTAAGAATGAGAGCGGCGGGTTTCAGGTGAAAACCTAGCGCTCATCTATGGTACGCGCTACTCTTGTGAATATCAAGAGAGGTCGCCGTCAGATGAGCTGTGTGCATGAGAGCGGGCAAGGGACCCTTTGAACCAAGGGCGGGGGGGAATGCAATGTGAGGGTTCGAAAAAGAGAGGTCTCTGACCGTGACAAGAGAAAGCCTTCAGAAGCAAGGAGAACGGCTGTGAGAGGACGATGGAGAAGAGCGGAGGAAGTGAATCTACGAA